AAGCGGTTTTGCATAATATATGTTCTGGACAAAACACTTTCTTTAGCCAACTTAGTTAAAGCCTCAACTGTTCTATTGGTTATAATTTCTACTACTGCTTGTAATCGGATAATTCTGTTTAACATATAAATTGGGGTCCTATACCCCCAACTTCCATCTTGGGCCCATGTAGCTGGATCATAATAAGCAATTATTCGTTCGGGTGGCCATTCATCATCTTTCCAATTCCCAATTTTTAACCCTTCTCTCACTTTAGCCACAGATCGCCTTACCAAATTTCCCACATGTTCATAGGCAGGGACACCCAATAATTGTCTTCTTTGTAATGGCAAGAGGAAGAAAGAGGGTTGTATAGCACCCAGAATACAAGACCCAAACCATCCAGCAGGGAGAATATTATATGCAAATGCTCCGCAGATCCAATATAACCCATCAGGAGTGGTCCAGAGGAGGGTATCGTTTTCAGGATCTTTTAGGAAGGCTAGCTCGGGAATTAAAGATAAAGAGTTGTTAGGGACACTTTGATTCGTTTGTGATATCCAAGTATTGTTTTCCCAGGTATTCAAACAGCGCATGAACCCCATAGGTTTAGTTCTCCCACTATGGTTACTCCTTGAGTAACATATATTGCCCACCAGGTTAATGGACATCCTCCAAGTTTCATTATAGGTGTTCTGGTAAGTGAAATTTCCTTTCCATTTCTCAATTTCAGTATAATTAGCTTCTCTAGCATGCCATGGCCATTCATCTCCCATATTGGTTCCCCCACACACGAAGCAATTTTTCAGCATTAACTTCTGAGCAACCTCTTGGGCTAAAGCGATAAACATATTTTTAGCCTTTGGTGGAACAGGGAGACTATTAAATTTTGCAATCTCTTCCTGATATTCCCAATATACTTTTACTGGCTCTGAAGTTAACTTTGTTGAACTCACTTTTACTATAATATACCCATATGGATCTTTTCCTCTTCCATTTATACCAATACCAAAATAATAAAAATTAGTAGAGGGGGTTTCAGATGCCTTGATTTGTAAGCAAATCCGTGTACACTGTTCTGGCTCACAATCTGTTGATACTGAGGCCATAGACAAGTTGAACCCCTGGGGTCCTTTCCTCCATTCCCAAGGGGTCTTGGTGATATACCAATAAGTGTGACTTGGAGCAAAAGCCACCTGGCCTGTACTCGCAGCAGGCATAGCAACTTGGAATAAATATTTTTCTTCCCTCATATAATCTTTTTCCCACTCAAAGTTACCACACTTCATTCCTTGTCTATTATCATGTCCTTGTCCTATCCTTATAGCTTTACAAGTGTCAAAACACACAGACAGCTTGGTATTTCCTCTTGTGGTATTGTGGGCAACGTATCCTCCCTTAGTTTGGGCTATAGCAAATAACCCTTCTGTTCCAGTAACTCCCCCTTTATATCCATATACATAAATGTTAGCAGTAATTGGACCTACTGCTTTTGGTTCATAGCACTGCATCCCTTGGGCTGTATAACACCTAAAATATTGAGTTTGATTACATACACAAGGTTGCACTTTAGTAGCATTACATTCTGGTTTTAGAGTGTGATATAATAAGGTACTAGTAACTATATTCCCTGGCTTAGTCTTTTTAATACATTCTGTGCACTCTTGGCAGGGTCCGAACTTCGTTGTGGTCTGTTTTATAATAACAGTAGTTCTCATCTTTCTAACAGGAGGGGATAAGGAATGGACAGGCTGATGAGTCTGAACAAGTTCTTCCCATAATACTTCACGCAGCCCTTCCCATTCAGGTTGTAAATACTGACTCCTAGTATTGTTACATAGAAAGTAGAGATAATCAGTGCTTTCCCCTTCTGTGCCACAACCACTGTACCACAAGGCCTTCCCTATCCAATGGCACCTTGGGTCTCCCCTGGTTGCATTTTCACACATCTGGGTAATTCCACTCATCCACTCTCTACTTTGATTTTTACAAGTCCAAGCTGGATCTCTCTGGGTTTGCCTTGGTGTTACTTCCAGAGTCAGATTACATCCATATTGAGTAGTTTTCCAGTATTGGAACTCTCCCTTTTGATGTCACCCACCTTTTCTCCTGACCTACTTGCTGCCAGTTTGGTTGCAACTTAGATTCACACCACCAAATTTTTGGGTTCAAAGATCCAGTTCATGGGGCAGTGTTCACTCTCTTTGTCATTATAACACCGAATTTGTATCCAAGTTTCATTAGGTTCAAAGATTCTAGGCGGCTCAATCCATAATTTCCCCCAATCGCCACTATTGTCATATTCAAAAGGATATAAGTCATTGTCTTTTTAACACCAGTTTCAATGGTTCTTTTTGAAATGCTTTCCATGTTTCCGACTCCTCAAGATTAGCCTTCTTTACTCGGGTATAATGAGTCCAACCCTTTTTCTTTCGTCCAGACTGCTGTTTCAGAGGTCAGCAACACTGGAATGGTCCTTCCCACTTAGGTTGCAGTTTTTCCTCCTTTCACGTTCGGATCAGGATCCACTGTCCCACCTCAAACTTGTGGACAGGAAATTTCAAAGGGGGTGTTTAGATCAGCAAGCCTTGTTTCCTGAGATAAGACAAAGCAGAAAACAGCCCCAGTATCTAATTCTTTATAAACATGTCATTAGTTTTCATATTGTGGAATTTCCTACTTGAGATGATTTAAAATCAACTTGAATGCATTGAAATAGCCTCACCATTAGATGTTATAGAGCATTTTATGTATTTGTCTACATATCATATAACCAACCATATATTAACCATAGAAAAGTATCAATTATCCCTCCCCTAGCCATTTCTTTTATCCGTATTTACAAACACATTGCTTAGTAAAGAGCCAACAAAGGAGCGCTCACCAACTCTGCTTGAGTTTGTTTGCATACAAATCTTTATTTAAAACATAGCTCATTTATAATCCCAAAATTTTCTCAACTCCTTCGTTTTAAACAAGGGTTGAATTACCATTCCTTCAGGTCTCCTAGATATTATGTTTTTATCAGTGTGTCCTGCACACAGACATAAAAACATAAAAATAAAACTACAGTATAGGTGTATTCAAGTTCTTCTCATATTTCATTACTATAAGAATGGGTATTAAATTTCACATCCACCCCACCTTCCTCCCAAAGCAGAATTCCAAGCGGAGAAAAAAGTTAAAATGAGCAGCCCCCCCCCTTTTCTTTCTGTCTCTCACTCTTAAAGCAACACAGCCAGCTGAAAACGAAGGGGGAGGAATAGCTTTCTCTCCTTCACATGAATTTGCCATAAATTCTCTCACATTCTCCATGGAACTCTTCTCATGCAAACACTTGCTAAAACAATAAAACCTGCAGTTTAAATGGGGGAGAAACTCACTCACACACACACACACACATAGAGAGAGAGAGAGAGACAGGATCAGCATATCCATACATTCACTTCCATTCAAACTGCTTGTACAAACACTTTCACATAGGGATATTTCATTTCATACTTTCTCTTGACAAATCAATAACTATTATTATTATTTCAAGGAGCTGTTCAAAAGCCAATGAGCTCCTTTCCCTCCCCTAGTAAAAACTATCCTCTTCTTCCCACACTGAGTAAACTTGCTGTTCTCTCGCGCGTTTAGGGCAATTTTTTTTTTTTTTTTTAAAAGTGGCCCTTCATTCCACATCCAAAGCATGTTGTCTCCTTATTCTGGTATCCACCTTGAAATCCTCCAAATCCCCTTCCTCTACTCCCATTAACATACTGGTTCCTTTCATCCCCCCTATATCTTGTCTCAAAGGGACTCTTCTTATCCCCAAACTCTCTTCTAGGAGGTTTTTCCTGCTTCATTACTTGCTGTTCTGTTGCTACCATCATCTGTCACCCAAATTAGCACATAATCTAATTCATTATCTAAACTCTTACATTTCTTTTTCTTCACATAGTTATATAAATTGTGACACTGAAAATAATCTGTGGAGCCATTCCTTGGCCACTCCACATTATCGTCCTCCCACCAAACAAAACAACATAAATTGACCATATCTTCTTTATTCAACCCCAACCTCAAAATCTCCCGGTTATAGGGCGGGGATCCCCATCCAGCCAATATTTTGCCCAAAGGGCCATTCGGGTCAATTTTAAGTTTGGGGTTTTTACGGATCCTTTTAACACACTTTTTCCCCGGATTGGTCGACCCTGTATTGCCCCCCATTTCTTTTATGGGTGCTCAGCCTATCTTGAGTATGTGCGCCTGTGTCCCTCCCAGCAACTCCTTCCAGTTCCACACGTCACCGTCTCCGGATATTCAATAATATCCCCCTCACTCACTCCGTCCTGCAGACCTCCCCGAGGTCCCTCAAAAGGACTTCCACCCGGCCCCGTTGCCAGTTCTCACATCCACACACTCTATCCCGACCGCCCTGGACTCTTGTGTTCTGGTGTTTTCAAACCAGTACTCACCAGGGTCTGCGCGCAGATGTTACCCGGTCTGTCTTCAGGCTGTTCCGCACTTTATTCACCCTTCTCCTAATACTCGTCTTTATTAAAATTTTACGGGTTTTCCAAGAGCTCCGCAGTCCTCTGGGTGGTTCCCCTCCTTTCAAAAGGAAAGGGGTGCACCTAAGGAGGACCCCTCAGAGTCCCAGCGCAGATTGGATCCCGGTCGAGCCCCCAATTTGTTTGTAGAATTCCTTGAAAGAAATTCAGAGACGAGGTTCGGAGTAGCAGAATAAAGTTTCTTTTATTATCAAAGTTGAGTTTAGTAAAAGAAAACGGTTTGCAAAGCGTGGTGAAACTTTAACCATGCACTCACAAGAGTTGCAGGGAAAAGCCACACCTCCTACAGAAGCTAACAGCAGTTATACCCCTCCCTATCTCCTCCTATACCTACGTCAGCTATTCCTGACGTGGCAGGTCACAAACCTATCAGACGACACAATTATCCTACCTTACCTCCTACTTTACCATATATGGGTATTCTTTTGTTTTCTACATGTGGACATTCCATTCCATACCTAGTTCCAGGCACGTACTCAGGTTTTCCCGCACATGCTCAATGAGCCTGTTGCTGAGTAGAAAATTTTAAACTTTTCTAGAACCTTCCCATTCACCAATAACCAGTTACATGACACTCAACACCCAACCAGAGTCAGATAGTTGTGAAAACACCCATTTTCCCATCAGTTCAATAGTACAGCAACCAGCCTCACCTCTCCTGCTTCTTCTCTACCAATCCCTCCCCCAGCTAGGGCCAGAAAGACCCTCCCATTTCTACCTTCCTCTACTTGCCAACTTCATATCTAGTATACTATATATTGATTGCTGCTAGTTAGGTGCCGATTTCCTGGCATATTAAGAGAAGAACGCTTAAATGTTTCATCCCAAATCCATTTCCTATTTAGTTTGATTTTATCTATTCGCTCCCTTGATGCTGGTCGTCCTTTCATTCCACTTTTTCCCAGTCCTATTATGGACTTTTCAAGGGAATACTTTTAAAACAGTCCTCTGTCCTCCTGTCTACTGGCAGCGTAGGAACCGAAAAAGTTACTTTCGCCTCTTTTTCTCTTCCATCACCTGCCACCATCGTAACAATGGGAAACTTCGGGCGACACAGGATGATACCAAACCTGCAATTCTCATGACGTCCGATAAGAAGCGTGCGCAGTCGCTGCCAGCCGCCTTTAATTTCCGACGCCGAGTCGTCCGTTCTGTTGAGGCCCGCTCTATGGTTTGGGGCCTTGGCGGAAGGAAGCGTTTTGCCCAAGAGGGAAGGTGGCAAAGGAGATTGTTTAGGTCCGAGTGAGCTGCGGGAGATAGCTAAGAGAAAGGGCAGAAGCCGGCCGCTATGGGGGTGCCGAAGTTTTATCGGTGGGTCTCGGAGCGGTATCCTTGCCTCAGTCAGGTGGTGAAGGAGCACCAGGTGAGCAGCTGTGGCTTGCGCTTCCCTGTTCTGGAGAGGGAAGCTGAGAGGCTGCCCAGTCTTCGCACCGGGGCGATTATCTTTTTTTCCTCGTGAGGGGCCTCTAGTGTGACGGACACGTCTGGCAATAAAGCCGCGCCTGCCTCTGGAATTGTTGCGCGGATCCCCACCTGGAAAGCTCTGTGGTGGAGTTACCATTTTGGAGTCTTTCTTTTTTTGGCCCGGCTAAGAATTTTAGGCCGCTTAATCTTTTTTTCAGGGGAGGGGAAATTGGAGAACAGGAATGTGCCCGAGAGAAAAGCTACAAGTTTCCTAACTGACCTTTAACCGAGAATGTCAGCTGCTGTTTCTCATTTAGAAACAAACCCGAGTCTGGAAAGAGTTTTATGAAACTCCGAGCGACGTTGTAGTTTCATTTTGTGTGGAAAGCCGCGGAGAAGAGAGTGGCTTATTTGTAGCTGTCTGGAGCCTGGCAATTTATTTTCAGTTCTGCTTCATGATGTAGTAGAAAAACCTCTCCACATCATTAGAAATATTCTTTTTCCTTTTTAGCCCAAAGAGATTACATCTACTCTTATTAGTATTGTTTTAAAATTTAAATCGGATATATACATCGCATCCTGGTGTACTTTATCTTTTTAATAGAGTCAAGGAAGAACATGAGTAGATTGATGGAAATGTGCGATATGTTGGGAAAATGTAGCATTTCTCGTGTCTATTACATTTAAAAATGCAATACAGTTTCTTTTATACTGGCCAACAACTGAAAGACATACAAAGAATTACAAAGAATAATAATAGAAGTGATTATGCTGAGAAAGAGGGAAACAATACTATAGTCCTAACTAGCACAATTACACAAATAATCATATGAAATTCCTATTGACCCACAGTTTAGGAACAGTTTGCATTGAGTATAAGCCATAATACTATTAATTGATTTTGGCTTAAGAGTACTGTGTGAATTTAAGTGCAGTATCATAAATTGCAATATTATCAGTTATTACTTGCTTTGTAGCTTGACATTCTTTTCCTGAGGGCATTTCAGTTAAACAGTCCTGTTTTAAATCAATATAAAATGCTAAATTAAAGATAGTGCACTTTATTTCAGAGAAATATTGTTTCTAAAATAGCCATTGTAGTTTGTAACATGATTTTTATACACCCCTAGTGCTAGTAGATAATTAGTTTACATATTCATTTTTGTCAGTTTTATTATGCCAATACAGAATAAAAATAATGTTGAATTTCTGGATAAAAATTCTTTTTAAAAGTACAGTTCTAAATGGAAATATTGTGCAGACTTATTTTGCTTTTTTTCTATTGATTTTCATTCAAGTACAGGTAGTTCTTGATTTATAACAGTTCACTTATTGACCGTTCAAAGTTACAATGACACTGAAAAAAGTTACACAGTTATGACTGTTGTAGCATCCCCACGGTCATGTGATTTAGGTTCGGATGCTTGACAATTGACTCAGATTTATGATAATTGCAGTGTCCTTGACACTCTTTCACAAGGCCCTGAAGGCCTGGGCTTGCCAACTAGTATGGGAAACCCAAAGTGGGATGGAGCCCATTAAGTGGTTTGTTGTTGCTTGGGAGAGTGGGGGTTATTGTTTTTACTCTTTTTATATTAGGTTTTTTTTATTGTTTGTAAGATACCTGGGGTCACTCAAAGTGAGTGAGCAGCCGTATAAATAAATAAATAAATAAATAAATAAATAAATAAATAAATAAATATGGACCTATGTAATGCCCTTTATAAAAGTTTATGGCATTATTAAAATATGAAAGTTTAGAATTAAAGCTAATGTAATCACTACAGAATCATTGTTAATGTTAAAAAGACTTCCTTATTTTTAGCAGTTTATGAATTTTATTTTTAATCTGAAAACTTTCATGGAAGACAGGATATATGTGTCTATGGAATTTATGTGACCTCTTATAAGCAGAGTATGTTGAATATTAGCATATGTGTTTTCCAAATATATAAAATGAAATTAGATAATGCAAGGTACAATTTTTGTAAAAGAAATATAACAAAACTTGTCTTTATAAAACAACTTCTATATTTAATGTGTTTCCTAGATTCCAGAATTTGACAATTTATATTTGGACATGAATGGCATTATTCATCAATGTTCACATCCCAATGATGATGATGTTCATTTTCGAATCTCTGAAGATAAGATCTTTGCTGATATATTTCACTATTTAGAAGTTTTGTTTCGCATTATTAAACCAAGAAAAGTTTTTTTTATGGCAGTTGATGGAGTTGCTCCAAGAGCAAAAATGAACCAGCAACGTGGCAGACGTTTTAGGTATGTACGTAAAATGGGTTTTTGATTTATTGTTTGTTTTCTCTATTTTCTTTGTACTTCCTGCATATTGGATATAATATGCTTGTTTCTTCATATCTCTTATGATTATTCATAGGAGTGAATGTAGGATTGCTCATTCGAAGCTATTTTCTTTTTATCTGGAAAAACTATGGAACTCTAGAAATGTTTCCTGCTCTTGGTAACAAACTGACTTCCATGACCATTGGTCCAAAGGGAAACCCAAGAGGGAATAAGTGGTGCTGGCTTCAAACCAATCATTCTTACTGAAGGGAAGCCATGTGGGGAGACTGAACAGAGGCGGTCCTTGCTTACTGACTATTGAACTCAGTCTGGGATGTTCAAAGTTATAGTAATGCTGAAAAATTAGACTTACAACTGGTCTTCAAAGTTGCTACCATTGCAGTCACGTGATCATAATGCAGTTGCTTGGTAAGGTGTGCATTTACAAGAGGTGCACAGTCACATGATCCCCATTTGCAAACTTCACAGCCAGCTTTTGACAAGTGAAATCAATGGGGAATCCGGCAGGAAGTTGCAAGTTGTAGTCATATGACATCATATTTTATGACCTGCAATGATTCACTTAATGCAGGGGTGTAAAACTGCCGGCCCACGGGCTGCTTGCATCATATGGAGGCTGCGCCCACCCCAGCTCCGGCAATGCAAAAAAAGTCATGATATGTCGCGACACATCACGTGATGCAGCGACTTTGACATCTATGACTTAATGACTGCATATGTCTGCATGGGCATGTGACATTTCAGTTTGCAACTACACTGAATCATCAAGTATTTTCATCCAGTCATTTTTCATGTTTTATTATTGTGTTAGAGTATGCACTTTTTTAGAATTTCATGGCCAACTTTCCAAAATGCAGGTTAGGAAAATGGAAACCTGATATAGTTTAATTTATGTTATTGTCTGAATAAAACCAGTTTCATTTATTAAATACAATTAGTGTATAATTATGTCCTAATTATATGTTAAATTCTGCTATATGTTATATTAGAATGACAATTTCAGATTTCTGGGGATGCATACACTTCTGAACTTTCAAAATAGTTGTGCCTTTATAAACTGTGGTATGCCTTTCTTAGTCTAATATAGGAAAGCGGGTAGATTGTCTATTTCGTCTTTGTCAGAAAGATTCTTTAAGTGTTTTCATCAGATAGCTGCTAAGCAATCTCCAGGATTGCTCTCAATTCAGGGGGAGATGTTGGACTTGTTTCACAACTGCTTGGATGATCTTATCTGTCCATAGATTCAGTGTTGCCAATAATATAATAATAGAAGTTGCTTAAAAATGCAGCTAAGAAAATAAACCCAAACTATTTTCCAGAGAACCTAGGATCAGAAGTAATAACATTAGGAAACACTTCCTAACGATAAGATCTTCCTTTAGAGGTTGTGGGTGCTTTTGTTTCAGTAGCTTTTAAAGAGATCCTCTCGTAAGTGGTTTAAATTATTTTCTTACTCATTGCAGGGAGTTGAACTAAATAACTTTTGTGGTCTCTTCCAACTTTATAGAAAAGTTATCACAACTTAGGCTTATTCAGTTCTATAGAAGATTAACAAAACTCTTGTGACTTAGATTGTGTTTATTCTAGGGGTTCTCAACCCCCAGTCCAAGTAAGCAGTGGGCAAGCGTGTGAGCACGCGAAGCTCCATTTGCACAGGCATTGGGCATGCACACAAAACCATCCCCTCTTCCCTGCTTCTACTGCCGGTCTGCAAAGCTGGAAAGGTTGGGGACCACTGTTCTATTCCATGCAACTTTATAGCTATACAGTAATGAAAATTAAATAATATAAAACTTTCATTAAATTTATTTTGCTAATGAAACTATATATGTGAGAAAGTGTTGGCATGGGTATTCTGCCTGCAAAGACTATCTGCAATCTGAAGATATTTCTACCATAATCTCTACAGAATTGTTGTGAGATTGTAATACATATGTAGCTATCAGATTATTTCAGCACTAAAGTACAAAGTGTTGTTATAGGTCAGCAAGGGAAGCAGAAGACAAAATTAAGAAGGCGTTAGAAAAAGGAGAAACTCTTCCAACTGAATCCAGATTTGATTCTAATTGCATTACACCAGGTAGGGATTTTTGTTATTTTGCTACATTATTTTGAACTTCTTCATTTTGTATTTCTTATTTTTATGTGATTTTCAAATATATCAGCCGCAGAAATCAAACTAAACATTTACAGAATGCCCTCTCTCCTACCCCTATTCTCATATCATAGTATTAAAGATACAACATGAATTGCAGGCTATATTTTATTCTTATTCATTCTTTACTGTTTCTTCTGTTCAATTAAGTACTTCCATCTTACATTAAAACCAATTAATAAACGATTTCCCAATTTTACACATATATGGATTCTGTCTGTTTCTGAATGATCTGAAAGTTTTATACTCCACCATTACGTTCTGTCTGACTAAACTTATTTTTTTCTGACTAAGGAGATTTCTAATGGAGGAGATGTAGTCCCAGGTTTGTGAGGCTGTATTTCCTGAAATCAGAAAACAGTTGAAATAATGTAATAGAGATGTTTATGTTTAACCTCAAAATTTGTTTTATACTTGTGTACATGTTTAACATAATTTCCAATATTAGTGCTGTTGAAAATTGTGAAATCTTTTTTAAAGAAATACATGTTTCCATGATACTTGAAAAAATATTTTTGAGATTTTAGTGAATGAGTGTGTAACTTTTAGATTTCTGTTATTAGGGACAGAATTCATGGCCAGGTTGCACGAACACCTGAAGTATTTTGTAAATATGAAGATTTCCACAGACAAATCTTGGCAAGGCATAACTGTCTACTTATCAGGCCATGAGGTTATTTTTTACTTTTATAACACTTCTTAAATTAATAGTTATTAATTCAACATTTATTAATTTGTTTTTTCTTTTCATTCAGACACCAGGAGAAGGAGAACATAAAATTATGGAATTTATTAGATCAGAAAAAGCAAAGCCTGACCATGATCCAAACACAAGGCACTGTCTCTATGGTTTAGATGCTGACTTGGTACGTTTACATGTAAACATGATTTACTTAAAAACAAATAAGATTCTTGACTATAAATGCCAATAGTAATGGTAAAAGAATCTCTTTAGACTGCAAAGATTTTTTTACACACAAGATTCTTACTGGTTTGCCTTATGTTTTGTAGGGTTGTATGCATTATGCAAGCAGTTTGTTTTGTAGTATGCTATCCATTGTGGAAAGGGGCAATGTTATTCTCATGGATGTCAATGAGATATTTTGATATCGGTATAATATGCTGCTAGAATAACTCACTATTGATCATTTTTAAATGATTGATTCTATTAAATTACTTTTTTTAATAGATAATACTTGGGCTGACAAGTCATGAGCCACACTTCTCCCTTTTAAGAGAAGAGGTCAGGTTTGGTGGCAAAAAATCACAAAGGTAATCTGCTGCAAAAATTGTTAAAATGACAGCAAAGGAAGTTAAACAAAATTGCTAAATAACCAAAAACACTGTATTTATTCAGTGTTAAACATTCACATTTTAATCTATGAAATGTAACATTTTAATTAGCTTACTGAACTGTATTAATAATTTACAGAGCAAGTGCCCCAGAAGAAACCACTTTTCATCTTTTGCACTTGTCATTAATGAGAGAATATATTGACTATGAATTTTCACCAGTTAAAGTAAGTATGAGTGGACTTGCTAAAGGTTATTGAATGTTGCTAGAGGTTTACACTTTTCATTAATTAATTATTTGTGTCAACATTTATCAGGACAAGATTTCGTTTCCATATGAAATTGAAAGAATAATAGATGACTGGATTTTAATGGGCTTTCTTGTTGGAAATGATTTTATTCCTCATCTACCTCATTTTCATATTAACCATGATGCATTGCCGCTGCTTTATAGGACATACATGACTACATTGCCTGAACTTGGAGGTAAGCTATCTCACATAGTTACTGCAAGATGGTCTTGCAGTAGGCCCTGCTAGAGAGTAAAAGATAGAATGGGAAAGAAAATAATTATCATAGTCTGTACTCATGCTGGTAAATGCATTTTTTCCTTCCATTATGTAGATTGGGTCCTGTAGAAAATACTGGTAGCCCTTGACTGACTATCATATTTGGCTCTGAAATCTTGATTGTCGGGCAAAGGGGACATTAAACGGCATGCCAGTGTGACCCCTTCACTCAACAATTATAATCCCAGCATTCCCAAGTTGTCGTTAAGCAAGTGCCTCAGGGGATAGAGGAGTCTCTGGTAGGCTTGGCACAGACTACACATGAGCTGGAATGGTGGCTGCAGTGTGGTTCAAAGCTGCAGTTGCCCCATCCTGGTCCTGCATTTATTGGCAGAAGTGCCTGGCTTGGGCCTAAAGCAGAGGTCCGGAGCCTAGAGCAGTTTTGACCAGCTGCCACTTCTCTAGGTCTATACATCGCTGAGGAAAGCCACTTAATTCCCTACACCCATTTCCCCTCTGATCTAGTCTCCCTGCATAGTGGCACGTGACTGTAGTGCTTGGCATGAGCCTAAAATAAAGAACTGGCTCTGAGTCAGTTTTGGTAAAGAAGGTCTGGTGTGACAAGCTTTGGATAGGCTCTCAGGCCTTTCAACAAGAGTAGAAAAGTACCTGAAGGTCAGCGGTATTAGGCAAAGACTACCTGTAAGGAAGCTGGCCTTAAGGAACATAAGCATGTTGCCAAGGCAAAAAGAAAAAAAAAATAAAACATTAAGTTCAAAACATCCAGATAATACTGGAAGCGGCTCAAATAGGCACTTAACTAATTCACTTAACTTTAAGAAGGAAGAACACCAACTTTGATGATTCTGCTGGTATATAGCTAGTCTCAATAAAAGTAAAAAGCCTTCTTGTGGAGCTGATTTTTTTTGACCTGGTCTACCTAGTAAATAATGATTTGCATTCACTTGTATTTCACTGGCACTGGAGGAGAAAGTGATATTGTGCCCCTTTTAACAATACCTCCCATGCTTTTCCAATCTGATCTAAATAAGAGTGGAGGGCTGCAGTGAAAAAAAGGCATCTGTGTTTATTAGTATGCTACCCCCATTCTTCAAATAGAAGTCCCACAATTCATTGAACAGAAGGAATGTATAGATCATTTTTTTTAATAGTATCGGGCTGGAAACACAGCTCATAGTTGTAAATATAAATCATTTTTTTGTTTCTTAGGTTATATAAATGAAAGTGGGCACCTCAACTTGCTCCGTTTTGAGAAATATCTTATAAAATTGTCAGATGTAAGTATGTATTCTTTGTACTGCATAAAATTAAAGCAATAGCATTAGAATTCATTAAGAAAGGAACTTCTCAACTCAACTCTTGAAAAAGTTTTGGTTAAGTATTTTTATAATATCTGCCTAATTGCTATCTATGGTGCTTTATACATTTCCGAGCTGCACTAGAATCTGACTGAACTCATTCTGATATTTCATGCCTAGAACCCTCTCTCTTTTAGCTTAAGTGTAATCCAGAAAGAGGAGTCCAAATGACACCTTGTGTTAGGTGAGTGATCTGCAAGTATTCAGGGGATCAGTCTTGATGGAAAATAATAGTATTTAAGCCAGGAGGAGTAAATCAGTGCCCTCAGCTCAATTTTTGGCTAACCTGCTTCCACCTGGAGGGATGCATTAGCTGTGCCTCTGAGTACCTGAAACAATATTTTCAAGAACTGTTTGTTAAATCTCTAGTAGCCTATAATGTGGCACCAGTTGAACACCATTGAGTATTTGAACCATGGAAACAAAGTTTCAGAGCTGCTAGTATGCAATACCTATCCTTTGTCCAAGTGAATTTCATAATGGCTGCTGTACTTTTTGTGCTTCTGAAGAGACATAACCAATATGGGCCTTCCAAGCATCAATATTCTGGAACACTACCCCCAAATATGTAAAATCCTTCACCTTGCCTTTTTTTGTATTAACCATTTAACACTTGTAGGTTTTGTAGCACAACCCACCACTTTGTTTTTTTAATTTGATAAGCAGAGATTATGTTACCAATTATTTTATTATCTGTAAACCACTAAGAGCCCAAGAAGATTGAGGTAATAGATAAATTTCACAATAAATGAACAAACATTTGATCACAATTGGCCCTTACAGAAACTGAAATATTAGCCTCTTAACAATTGTTTCTAGAAAGTTTGAAGTACCATCTTCATCGTGTATGAAGCAGGCCTGTTTGCAAGATTTTTTTCCTATGTTAATTACTTACCCAATAAAGTATGTTCAGCTCAAAGGAGAACCCTTATACTTGTATGATTTAATGTTTGTCATCCACATTAAGGAAAATTCCATAATTCTCCTGTGGAATAGCAACTATCTATCTGGATGAATAGAACATGCCTGCATTGCCTCTTTTAAGGCATAGCCTTGTTAGCTTGGAGGAAAATGCTCTCTTTTGAGCTGACATATAATTTGAGATTTCCACAAAGGTTACCATAATTCTTTTGATTACCTTTCTATACTTAATAGTGTAACTATTTTGTTTGCTTCATCTACTGTCTTATGATTTTTTTACTATACTCTTTTTACATATAGTATTTGATTAACTATATGTGGGCCTTTCTGTTTTTAAACTTTGACTGTAAAACAGGTTTTAAAGAAGAGAAGAAAATTGAGGGGAAAATAGGCATTCAAATCAAAATATATCTTTTTTGATACTTGACCTAGAAAGATAAAAACCTGCCTGACATTGATTCAGTTGATTTTCCAATTACTCATTGGGTAGTTATATTGTGAATCTACAGAATTCTAGAGCTTCTGTTTTTGTATGTTGGCAAGACTGATGGCTTGTTCTTCTTTCCCTTTATATTAATAGTTTGATCGTGAACACTTCAGTGAAATCTTTGTAGATCTAAAATGGTTTGAAAGCAAAGTTGGTAATAAATATTTAAATGAAGCAGCCGGTATTGCAGCTGAAGAGTCAAAAAAACAAAAAAATCTAAAGGTTAGTATTTTGAGATAATCTATAGAAAGAAATCACTCTTATTGTTTTTTAAATGGGAAATTAATGTTCAATGCTTACTACATGTAATGATGTTTACTATATGTATTCCTAAATATATACAAGTGGCCCTTAGGACACCAAGAGAAATGCCTTGAGCAAATTTGCTGAAAATACATCCTTAGGGATTAAGGAAGAGATTATGCATTATGACCAAAAGACTAAATTAACCAATGAAGCAAATTTCCATTCAATGTTAAATGTTGCTAAGTGATGAGAAATTTGAGATTCTGAACTTAGGAAAAAACAGATGTACAGATAAAAACAAGAATCTAGAATAGAAGTACTTCTGAGAAGCATCTGGAAATCTTGATAGATCATAGATTAAACATGAGCCAGTAATGTGCTGCAGCTGCCAAAAAAGTTAATGCAGTTTTGGACTGCATTAGCTGGTATAGGGTTAAGATCACAGGAAGTACTACCATCCCAATGAGATCATCCCTGGAATACAGTTTCCAGTTCTGGTCTCAACCACGCAAAAAGAATGCTGTGGCACTGGAAAAGGTGCAGAGAAGAGTGACGTTGATGGTAAGGAGCTTGGAGGCTCAGTCCTGTAAGGAATGCTTAAAGCAGACATGTCAAACTGCCAGCCCACGGGCCAGATGCATCACACCAAAACCACGCCCACCCCATTGCTGGTAATGGGAAAAAAGTCACGATACGTCACACGACATCACGTGATGTCGCAAGTTTGACATGCCTGGCTTAAAGGACTTTGTTATGTTTGGCTTAAAGAAGAAGAGACTGGGGAGATATGATAGCTTTAATACATAAAGGGATGTTGCATATATGGATTTATTTTCCATAGCATCCCTGAGTAAGACTAAAAACAGTGCATGGAAGCTTAGCAGGAAAGATTGATATAAGGAATATTCTGATTACAAGAGCTATTGTGCAGTGGAACAGCCTGGCTTCTGAAGTTGTGAATTCTCCATCACTATAAAGGTTTTCAAAAAAAGACTAGAAAACCATTTGTCCAGGATGCATAAGTATTCATGCATTGGACAAGGGATTGAATTAAATGATTTTTGAGGTCCCTTCCAACTTTATGGTTCTATAATTTATTCTCATTAAATACAAAGTGATATTTACTAAACTCTTTAAGGTTTATGTATCAGGCTTATCCAGTTGTTTTATAATTGACTGTGCATTTAGATAACAATTTTGGCAAGGTGATAGAGTGGTTTTCATTCTCACCTATTCTTTAGCATTTCCTCCTGAGGAAGACACTTAAGTATATTTTTAGGGGACCTAGTAACTACCAGGAGAAAATTAAAAGCTGAAGTTTACCCATATGATATTGGATTTTGCTTTTTTTCCCCTTAAATTAGCAAAGTCTTGAATTTCATTGCTTTGTATTAGTGGGGTCTTGTATTTTTGTAATTGTTTATTTTAGTTTCAGCTGCCTGCTTATGTCAATTTAAATTGTTTTAATAATTTTTACTAATTTTTTAGAGGGGGATATTATAAATTGCTCTGTTTTTCTTCAAGAACTCCAAATTGGCTCTGGAGGTAACCCAACCATCAGAAGCAATTTGTGAGATGTCCAGTGATGTATTGAAAGTGCTGTTATTTAGACTTTTCCTTTCTGTAGCATTATGGTATTAATACTACTTTGAATTTCAACAGGCTCAGGAAAATGCTATATGCTTGGATGCTTTAGAGAAAACTGACAGTGAAAATGTAGAAGCTTCAAAAAGTAAGTTCAGAAATACTGTTCATATTTTGACCTATAGTCTATGCAGGACAGGTTACAATTGTTTTGAATGTATTGCTTTATACAAACTTTTGTACTTGTTTCTTGAATTTCTGCAAAACTTAATATAGAAGATTATTCTCACATGGCAAGCAGAGCTATGTAGTTTATATTAACTTCTAATGTATGTTAAATAAGTTCCATATATTTGCCTATGTTTTGCTGCCAGTTAGGTATTTTATATGTAGATATAAATATAAGTATAGTTTATATTAACTACCTGCTACCAGTGGAAAAAAGTTTCACTGTATTAAGCCTCTTATTAGGATTTGGTACACTCCAGGAACACTAAAATTTACAAAACTCTTTTCTGTGCTTTTATTTTATCCATAATTTCATATTAGACGTTTTATTGACATTTTTCTGATGAAATACTTGAAGATTTTTCAGGTATTTTACATAGTGTATGTGTCATGCTCAGTTGATTGAAGAAAATTATTTTTCCAATTCAAAACCAGTAAATTCACATTTGGTACAATAGTGGTACTGCAATATGCATTGCTTATGTGCTTTTCTGAGTTAGCTAATTAACTACTGTGGTAAACATAATACTGCTGAAGGTGGACATTATATAGCCTGAATTAACAGAGCTCTTTATATTTTGACACATTTAATGTATACCATGTCAATTTTAAAAACTAATGCTGACTGCAGAGTTTTTGGCAGATAAGTAAGTTTCAATATCTAATAGTATGGACAGTGTTAATAATTGTTAAATAACGAGTATTATTCTATTTTGTGTCTCTTAGTAGCATTAGAAGATGAACTGGAAGATGATAGCTTGTTTGAAGCAGAATTTAGACAATACAAACGAACATATTATATGACAAAGATGGGCATAGAAGTTGTTTCAGAGTAAGTGTTAGCACTAAAGTATTATAAACTTTTGCTGTGAAAAACTTGCCAAAGTGCTGTAATATCTCAGCCCCTTGATGGACATAGTTGCTTAGCTATTTTTAAATGCACAGCTTCTTACTTCTGTCCATCATGTATGTATTTGTGGCTTTTTTTTTAGTGACTTTCTGGCTGACCAGGCAAAATGTTATGTTCAAGCAATACAGTGGATATTGCATTATTACTACCATGGTGTTCAATCCTGGAGCTGGTAAGCTAATTATTACAAAAGAAATTATAGATCAGTTTATATATTTTAGGTTAATTTTTTACACTAAAAGACCCAAGAAAACCCTTCTAGTTCTTTCTCAACCTCTATCTCACTCTCAGAATTATGTTACTCAAATTATGTCACTCAAATGACATGTTTTGCAGATGTCATTTTCTACCTTCAGCTTTTTGATTGAATAAGCTCAAAATACTGATTTTTCATACATCTAAGCACTTTGAAGAACTGAAATAATATATTATTTCCTTCTAGGTACTACCCTTTCCATTATGCACCTTATCTCTCAGATATTTGCAATATCAATGAACTTAAGATTAATTTAGATTTAGGAAAACCATTCATGCCATTTGAACAACTTCTTGCAGTACTGCCTGCAGCCAGCAAGGATTTATTACCGAAATGTTATCAGGTAGGTTGCAATATTTTGATAAGGTGTGCATTTGTATTGGTAAATTCCTTCATTTATACTCATGTGAAAAGTAACTATACTTTTGAAATGTTTGACTTTTTTGGAATATTTCAACATGCAGTTATTTGATCTTCATTTTAACATTATTGATAGATAAAAGTTATATAACAAATACCATGTAGCATTTATATTTTATATTTCATTATGTAATTTAAATATAAATGCAAATTTCGCATCTGGAATAAGCAAGTACACTCTTGGCTTGTTTTACCCTTTGGTAGAAACAACCTTAAGTAAATATTTATCAGAGCAGCCTACCAATCTCTAACATTGACTGGGAGGAATTTTTTCCCACTTTTCCATGCAGTGTTTATGTTGTTTGAAGGGTTTCTTGTATGTAAAGCCCATTTCAAGTCGTATCACAGCATCTTGGTGGGATTTACATCCAAGCACTGACTTTGCCTTTCCAAACCCCCCCCCCCATTTTCTCTTTGTTTTCCAATCATTTCTTGGTGGATTTACTGGAATGTTTAAGATCAGTGTTATTTACAAGGTTCACTTTCAGTCGATCCTTAGTCTTCTGACAGATGATTTTGTATTATCTTCAAGCACCCTCCAATACAATGAAGAATTCATAGTGGGTTTTATGATGGTAAGCTCGTCTGATGCAGCAAAATAGCCCCAAACTATACCATTTCCACTACAATTGGTATCAGGTTCTTCTGGTGAAATGCTGTGTTTGATCAGTAATATGGCAAAATAATTTCATTTTACTTTACTTGTTCAGAACATTGTTCCAGAAGTTCCAGTCTTTGCCTAAGTGTTCATGAGCAGATTTTGGTCTTGCCCTGATTTTCTTTTTGAACAGCAAAGGTTTCCTTCTGGCACACTTGCCACGTAGATCTAATTTGTGTAGCTTCTTTCTAGTGGTAGACTCATACCCTTTGACATGAGTAGTGATGAGAGCTACCTCTAGGTCATGAATCAATTTCTGGGGTTCTTAGCATCTTGTTTCAGTATCTTGCATTCTACTTTTTGCCTGAACTTTCTGGGACAGTTTAGCCTGGACAAGTTGACATTTGTTTGAAATCTTTTCGTTTGTAGATGAAACAAGTGGAACCATTCTAGACAGTGGAATTGTTAATGTCCACTTGTTTGGCAATCTTTTAAAATGCCTTCCCAGATTCATAGGCATCTATAATCCTTCTGAAGACCTCAGAGAGCTCTTTTGATGCAAAACATAATGATACCACACATTTCAAAAAAGAACAAATCAAACTAAATGTCTGAGGTTTAAATAAGACATGTTCCTCCCAGATCCTCTTTAATGACATTCTATTCATTTGCACCTGATCTAATTAATTTACACTAATTTTAGGTATTTGAGGTTGTGATAAATGTAGAGGTATACTTGCTTTTTCCATATGCAAAATTTGCATTTAGGTTTATTTAAATTACCCACTGGAGTACAAAATATAAATTATGCATGATGTTTGTTATATTGTATGTCCCTTACCAATATTGTTGAAATGAAAGATCAAATATCTACATATTGAAATATCTTGAAAAAGTAAAAAGTTTCAATGAGATATACTTACTTTTTCACATTGTATATAGGCATACTAGTTCAGTGCTATTAATACTTAATTGATCCATATTTTGATTTGTTTGGCATTTCTGCCATATACATTTAATTTTTTATATTCGTCCTGTTTAATATGTTTAAATAATATGAATTTTCCTTTCCTATCTCTCAGCATTTAATGACTAGTGAAGAGTCTCCCATTATTGAATATTATCCCACAGAATTTAAAACTGATTTAAATGGAAAGCAACAAGAATGGGAAGCTGTAGTTTTAATCCCATTTATTGATGAGGTGAGAGCTTTATTATTTTTATTGTTATTATTTATCACATATTTCACCAGTTTTAAAAGATAATAGAAATGTGTCTTCTTGTTCTTATACCTCTCCCAAATATGCTCCTTATTTGGTATTTTCCTGTTCATTACCAATTTATCTCAGCAGATCTTAAAATTGAATGTTATTTCTTTATAAATCAGTGGAACAAGTTAACTACAAGGCCACATGCCAGGTATCTATAAATATGCTAATCTAAATTTATGCTAATTTGTCCGGCTGAAATCCATGACTATTAAATTAAAATCATTGTGGTATTAATGAGATTTATTCTGGTACAGCAATCTATAAATCTCATTAATACCACAATGATTTTAATTTAATAGTCATGGATTTCAGCCGGACAAATTAGCATAAATTTAGATTAACATATTTATAGATACCTGGCATGTGGCCTTATAGTAACTTGTTCCACTGATTTATAAAGAAATCTGACTCTGATTCAGTCCAGTATTTTTATCATGTTTTATAAGATTCTAAAAGTATATGAATAATGCATGACCACAAAATTCTGTCTTTTATTTAGAAACGATTATTAGAAGCCATGGAACCATGCAACAAATTATTGAAAGCAGAAGAAAAGCAAAGAAATAGACATAGTGAATGCCTAATGTACTTATATGATAAAGATAAAGAATTACATTATTTATCACCATGGCCAGAAAAGTTCCTTCCCATAGAGAAGTGTCATACTAGGTAAGTCTATAGAATTCTGTTGTCAATGGAAAGGATAAACTAAAAGTGGAGACAGAAATGCACCACCTTGAACTTCTGAAGGAAACAGAATATTAATCTTTTCTTATCAACTCAAATCTTGGGCTCAGTTGTGGTTATAAGTCAAAAACTACCTATACCTGTGTAGGAAAGCTCTTGGCTTCAGCATTATTGTTTTGCATTCTTCTGTTCAAAGTTGTTAACACATGCATACACACCCATAACATCAATGTCTTCATGATCTCCCTTTAATGATGATTAGTGGCTTATCTGCAGTTTAATTTATTTTCTTTCTTTTATGTAGATGTGAAGCTGTGTCTATAGATGCTTGGCATGTGGATATAGCCGATAATAAAATAACTCAATTAGATACCGAGAAGTTATATTTTCGTGGCTTTCCTACTCTAAAACACATTAATCACAAGGTAAAATGTAAAATGTGATATGTATCCTTTTTCTAATGTCTAATTGAGCTGCTTTCTTTTCTCTCCAGCCCTGTCCATGTCTATTTCCTCTCACTTCATCTCCATCCAAATTTGTTTTTACTTTTCTCTCCAGCATAGCTATCTTTTCTCACAAGCTCATCTTCATTCTTCTCTTTTGCTATTTCTGTTAAAAAGATGAAAGAGAATATATGTAGTTGTACTTCTATGTTTCTGAATGTGAGGGTGGCTTGAATGGGTTTGAAATAGATGCATATGGGGTTCAGTTGGCTTGTTTAGTTACTGGCAGCTTGAACTAGATATAATTTCATTTTAATTATTTTAGTCATGGCCCTTACTATTTAGTGACTGATTGAAGTGTAGTTTTGGTACATATGCTATATACATCAAATTATATATTTGTTTTCTGAGGTTTTCGCGGGTGTTTGTATGTAGGTCTTTGGTTATTTGGGTTTTCTCCCGCGTAAAATTGGAAGTGTCTTGGCGACGTTTCGACAAAGTCCCATTCGTCATCTTCAGGCTGGTGTTTTCAGCTTCTTGCTTCTAGGAGCAAGAAGCTGAAAACACCAGCCTGAAGATGACGAATGGGACTTCGTCGAAACGTCGCCAAGACACTTCCAATTTTATGTGGGAGAAAACCCAAATAACTAAAGACCTATGTATGTATGTATGTATGTACGTATGTACTGTACACACATTATTTAGATTGCTAACAAAGAATAAAAGGAGAACTGGAATAGCTATTTCGAGTTTCTTAACTCTCTTTAGCCAGACATACCCTTCTGAGATTCGAACCTGAGCTGTGTGCATGTTAGGCAGCTGTATTAACCTCTAGGCCACAGGCTCTTTCTCCCTTTGTCAGCTGTATCAGGGAAGGAAGAGACGGGGAGGAGATTTACCTTTTGTGTTTCTTGATGCACCCTGTCATATATATATATATATATATATATATATATATATATATATATATATATATGTATGCTTTGTGTGTGTATGTTTGTGTGTGATGGTGAGTATAACCTATATTTTGTGTGTTTGTGAATGCATATATGTGTGTTCACAAATATGCATTCACATGCATATATGTGAATATATGGGCATGTCATATGCAGCAAAGAATTTTCAGGAGTTGGGATCCCTAGCATTATTATGGTATTTCCCAGGATTTTGTTTCTTGTAATTTGAGGGGAGAGATCCTCTTTTGGAGTAAATACTGTCTTTCTTCCCTTGTCCTAGTTTGGTCTGAAAAAAAGTGGGGTGCAAGTATTTCAGCAAAGCAGTCATGGAGAAAATATGATGCTGGAAATTATAGCTGCAGAAGATTCAGAGGAGTTGGTAAGTAGGTTTTCTCAAATTTGTTTTGTAGAAATAATATTCTTTGTAGTTTAGATTTCAGTGTGCAGCCTGAGGGTTTTATGCTATCTCTATTACACTACATTAATAATAAATTAATTTAATAAACATTATTAATGCATCACTTAAACAACCAGTTTGAAACATAGTAATTAAAACCTGGTTGAGAATCTGAGAGTTTATTGAAATAACTCACTGATGAAGAAGGTATACTTCAATTAATGAACACAAATTATCATTACATGATTAATTCACAGTTCTACCATATGTTAAGTAAGTTCTGAGGTTAATGGACATATTATTGAATTTAAGTTAACAGTAAAGTACATACCATTGGGGATTGAAAACTTCATTTTGAATACAGTATGGTGATAATATTGTGGGAAAAATTTGGGAAGTTTGTAAATAAAAATCTGGCTAGAAGCTATATGGAATATAGAATGCAAATAATTAGAGACACTTGTCCTGAGTACTGATTTCCTTGACTGCTGATTTATTTATAATTGAGCTGATCTTAGGAACTAGTCTTACCTGGTTTGTTCTTTTTGAAAGAGACATTAGATGTGTTTCCACAGCATGTACGGTGATAAATTGGAAGGGTACAGTAACATGCTATTTTAATGCTTGTTTTAAATGTTGAACAATGAGTCCTTTGTGTAGGAAATGCTATGTTTTGGACATCATCTTGTCACCAAAAAAAAGTCCACATTTTTACTTGAAGCTGACTTAAATCTATATCTGATGTGAAAAGAAGGCAGAGGCTATGTTCACCTTGGCAGACCTGGGAATAGGAGAAAGGAGAAAATGGCCATAAAACCAGGCAACATATCAGGTTGTTAGTACTATCATTTCTACATCTGAAATCTGATGTGTTTGCCTATTGATTTGCATAATATTTTCAAGAGTGCTTAATGTTGTGGCAATCCTGCTAAGAATATTTAAAATAAGACATATCATCAAAGTTTCACTGACAAATCTAAAAATAGAACTTGCATCAAGTATGTGTTTAAAATAATACATGTATTTATGAATTATTCATAAAAATTATAAACAATCCAAGGAGAACAAAATTTAGTTTTAATTACTAAATTTAATTATAGGTCGTTCTTACTTAACAACCACAACTGTGACCAGAAACTCCATTGCTAAGCAACATGGTCATTAAGTGAGATATCATATGACTGCATCACATTTACAACATCACTTTCTCTGCAGTTGTTAAGCAAGATATAATATAACCATGACTTGCAACTTTATTGCTGGCTTCTCCGGTAACTCTGCTTGTTGGAAACCAGCTGTGAAGCATGCAAATGGCAATCACATGACTATGGGCTGCCGCCATGGCCATAAATTCCTGCCAGTTGCAAAACACCTGAATTTCGATCACATGATCACAGGTATCCTGTGATGGTCATAAGAGCGAGGACTGATTGTAAAATTACTTTTTCAGCATCATTATAACTTCAAACGATCTAAAAAGGAAGTTGTTATGTGAAGACTACTTGTAGCCATTTCATTTTAAAAAAACGATTTATGTATCCTAATATACAAATGTAGAAATGGATTTCTTTTGCTGCACTAAACAATTATTTTTCTCTTGTAGGGTATAGAAAAAGTAGCCAGTTTGATACTTGGGAAATCAGTCTTTGTTAACTGGCCACATCTTGAGGAAGCCAGAGCTGTTGCTGTATCTGATGGTGAAACTAAGTAAGAGACAGATTTGGAAGAGTTATTTACTTGCTTCTGTATATGTATCTTTTAAGGCTAAACTTTGGAAGATAGATGGTGGAACAAGAGTTTATAAGATTTAAAAAATAATAATATTAAAACAAAATTGTAAGAAGCTCCAAGAATATGTTTCTACTTTCAACTTGTGTTACTAGCAAATTAATTTCTAGTCAATTTCACCTAATACCTTAAGAACATTGACAAATAATATATTTGCTAAGTTAAACTACTGGCCTAGAAACTAGGAGACTGTGAGTTCTAATTCCACCTTACGCATGAAAATCAGCTGAGTGACTTTGAGCCAATCACTTCCTCTCAGCCCAACCCTCCTCTCATTGGAGGAAGGAACATTATGAATGTTCACTGCTTTGAGTTACTTATAAAGTAAAATGTGATTAATAAATAAAATATGTAATAGGGTTGATTAAATTGTTAGGTTCTTGTCGCTTGCTGAACTTGAGTTGCTTTCCTATAGACATTTCATTACCACACACTAGGTGTCATCATCAGTGTATGGAAAGTGATGTTTGCTGATTGTTTATATATGGTACCGTAAATGCCGGCGTATAAGGCGACTTCCGCGAGCGCTGAAATCAGCGCCAAAGACGGGGGTCGTCTTATACGCCGAGTCGTCTTATATGCCGGAAATACTGGTAGTTTCCGGCATATAAGACGACGTTCTAGGAATGTGGCCCGGCTATAAAGACGGGGGTCGTCTTATACGCCGGGTCGCCTTGTACGCCGGCATTTACGGTAGCTTGTTCTTGTCTTGGTTGGGATATGGTTTCTTACTTAAGAGTTTTTTGATTAGGATATTGTTTCTTTCCTGACTGTTTATCTAAGGCTGTTTACTGCTTATGTAGGTGCTGGTTATAATGGGGAATGTGCTCTAAGCTGTTTGTTTCCATTCTGACTTCTGATTATTTGTTTTTTTTTTTTTCAGAATGCCAAGATTTCAGGAATTTCCTAGCTTTCTTAGTTTTGGCTTGACCTATAATGTCAACAGTTTCCCACTTAAAATTGTCTTTGAATTTATCTAAGTGTTGATAGATTAAGACACTTTCAGCATGTTTTTCTAACTTCCAGTTGATGTTAAGGATGCATTCTGCCAGGCTTCTACCTATTTGTGTTATTATATAATTGTTGTTTCAGTCTTTACAGCATATATCGTAGATGAGTTCTTTTTCATCTTTGGTTACTGGGCCTTTGCTTAAGATATTTTGGAGATATTTTGTTGGTTTATGTGTTGGAGGAATATCAAGTACTTATGGTGGTCTGTTGGGTATCTCATAAATTTTTGTTGTATGGCAAGTTATCCTTTTGAAAGATTGTGATACAATAATTATTACCTAGATACTTTTTAATGAAATGATATGTGTACTTATTGGAAGATGTTGTATGTGTAGTCTTTTTCCTCTTGCTGAAATTCTGGCTTACTGAAGTGTGTCTTTTGCGGTATGTAAGTTCTTATGCAACTCCTTTTGTGGACAGTTGTAATGTTACAAAATAACCAGGACCAATCGCACGAATTAGCTATCAACAGATGCATACATTTCATCTGCATGCAATTCAAAAGACATAACCATATGCCAATAATGTATGCAATGCCCAGATAGGAAGAAAACAGTACCAGATAAACAATTAGGGAAGAAACAATACCCTAATTAAGGAATTATCAAGGAAGAAATCACACTTCGGTCAAGACTGGAAAGGCAAGCTTTTGTATATAAATATTCAACAGCTTTATTCTCCCATGTGCTGATGATATTATTAATGAAAGTTCTCCAGGAAAGCAAATTCAAAGAATATAAGAATGTCATCAATATTGACTGAATTCAAGATACTTAAAACTTGTGTAATGATGTTAAAACTGAGATGAAATTTTAAAATGTATTATTTTAAACTAACTGCATGCTTTTATTTAAGGTTTTACTTGGAGGAGCATCCTGGAGCCCAAAAACTTTATAGGGGAAATGCTGTGCCACCAACTAAAGTAACATTTGTTGGAGAAAAGGAAAATAATGTATGGATAAAAGAAATCCAGGGAATTTCAGAACAGTAAGATTATACTTGATTTATAGTTTGTACACTTTAAAACAAAATTAAGAGTGAGCAGGTTGCTTTGTGGACATGACTTATTTAGAAATGCATGTTCGGATATAGATCAGATCAGAACTTAAGGAAGTTTGGGTGAGAAGTAAAATGTTTTCAAAGAAAAAACAAAGTCCAGTTTTGAAAAGCACCTTTGGAACAACCATGACCTGGATGATTGAAAGTCTCATAGACATGGTCAGATATAGTTTTGGCATTTAGTAGCTTTGGTGAATGTGGAATATAGTAAATTCCACTAAAGCCATGATCACAGTAAACATTTTAGAGGTCATTTTCTGATATAGTATACAAATGAGCGTGGAGTATCACCTGGAGTATCTTTGGAATTACTAAGTGTTAAGTGGTAAACCCAAAGCTGACTTCTTTAAAATGGCTAATAGTATTTTAATTATAGTTTACTCAATTATAGTTTATTAAAAAAATAAAAATACACATATAGGCAACATTTAAATAGGGCTATAGCTATTTACCTGTGTAGAAGGATCTAAGGGTAGAGAAAAGAATTATGTGTTCTATATAAGTACTTTAAACAGGAGAAGGAGAAAGTTTTAGAAGTATAAGATCTCAGATTAGTATAACCCTATTGGCCATAGATGTCATTGTGCCCTGATTCTGCTCTAAGTCCACTAGACTGTTTAAATTGGGAGGATGACATATTATAAAGCAGACAACCTTATCTCCAGCATTATCTTGTTTCCAAAAATTCTTCTAGTGTAAGCTCATAGGCATTCTTTGAATATAAAAATGATGTATGTTTGGATGCTTTGTTTATGTGTATTCCTGCCTCAAACAAAGCAAGTAAAAAAAGATGGTGGTGGTAAAGAAGATAAAATAGTTGGGAGGAAGATACCTCACTTGTTTGCCTTGTGATAAAATATTGTTCCTTCCCCCATGGAAATGATTTTGTAAAAAAGAAAGCTTCTTATTTTGACTATTTTGGGACAACATGCTTTCAGAATTTTAACTTTGTTCAGCAGCCCATAAAACATGCCTAAATATATTATTGTGTAATCCAGATAGCATTACAGATCTGAATATGATACAAACACAGATAAGCTTTATTGGCACTACCATAGAAAAGTTACAGGGGGAAAGATTTATATGGACATTAAAAATGTGCCACTGTTTTCACTGTGCTGAATGTCTGAATTCATCCTACTTCCTGCAGTTTTCTGTCCCTCCCTTCTTCAGCTCTATTATTTTGAATTCCAAACTCAAGGAATACTATAAGGCAGGATTTTTCAACCGGTGGTATGTGTACAAGTACATTGGCACCTGGCAGGTGGTATGCAACCCTGCCCAACCTAGCCATGTGTAGCGGGGGGTGGGGGAGGGAATGAGCTAAAGTGGCACAGCACAGGACTTGCCCTGAGAGAGTCGTCAGGAGCTGCTGGGGCGAGACAAAGGCCCCAGGATTTGCACTTCTGGCTCACCCGGAAGAGGAAGGAGGAGGAGGGGGCAGAGACAGGAGAGGCTGTAAAAGTTTTGGCTGGAGCGGGAAAGAGGAAAAAAAAGATTCAGGCTTGGGAGGAGGCAGAGTTAGCTGGAGCGGCACCAAAGGGAAACGAAGAAGGAAGAGGGGAAAGAGGAGAAGAGATAAAACAGGCCGGCCGGGAGCTGATCTATAACTTTGTGGCAGCCATCCGTGCCAGGCACACAGGTGGCAGCAAAAAACAGGCAAGAAATGCAGCGGGGGAGGGGTCACCCTCTGCAAGGAATGAAGAAAGGCACCATCCCTTGAACATCGGCAAAGGGCCCTTGCCCACTTCACACACCCAGCTCTGTGGGCTCCAGGGGGAGGAGATGCTGTGAGCTTTGACAGGCAGAGGCACGCTCTCCTTAGCGGGCGGAGAGGCTGGGCTGGGTGAGGCAAAGCTGGTGAGAAGCCGAACCTGCCTGGGCGCATGTACAGGAGGCGGCGAGCATGCGGGGCTTGGTGTCCTGGGTGAAAGGGAAGCGCTCAGAACACAGCCTGTGGGGCAAAATGGTCACCCAGGACTGCAGGCCCCATGTGCTCGCTGCCTCCTGTGCACATGCCCAGGGAGGTTCCGCTTCTCTCTAGCTTTGCTTCACCCAGCCCAGCCTCTCTGCGCAGTGAGAGCATGCCGCTTTCTGCCGAAGCAGGGCAGACTGGACGGAGGGGCTGGGTGGCATAATGCAAGTAACATGGACTCTCACACTGGTCACAGCATGCCCTCCCCCGGAGCCCACAGAACTGGATGTGTGAAGTGGGTGAGGACCATTTGCTGGTTGCCTTCAGGGGATGCTCCCTTTTTTCATTCCTCACAGAGGGTGACCTCTCCCCCGCTGCATTTCTTGTCTGTTTTTCTCCCTCCCTTATCGCAAATATCTTCCCGCCACTCTGTTCTTAAGGTTGTGCGGCTCTTGTCCATGAATTTACAGTGGCCTTTCAAGCCATGGCCATCGGCAGCACGGCCCAGCCTCTCCCTCTCCCCTTATCCCTTCCTAGGCATGGAGGAAGGAAGGAAGGAGATAGGAATGAGAAAGGGAGGCAGAGAAAAAGGAGGGAGGAAAACGGAGGGAGGGAGGGAGGGAAGGAAGGAAGAAAGGAGATGGGAATGAGAAGCAGGGAGGCAGGGAAAGAGAGAGGGGAGGAAGGAAGGAAGGAAGGAAGGAAGGAAGGAAGGAAGGAAGGAAGGAAGGAAGGAAGGAAGGAAGGAAGGAAGGAAGGAGATTGAATGAGAGGGAGGGAGGCTCTGAGGAAAGTCCTGCCTTAGCACTTGGCCACCAGCAGCCCTTCTGCCCTTTCACCATTCCCTTGCTCCCTCCTCCTGGCCTATCCTGAGGGTCTCCTATCCTATCGCTGCTTTGGTTACAAAACTGGGTCTCTTTGTCCACCCCTCCACTGGAGACGCCTGGATCCCCCCCACAGCCCTGCCCACACTCCCCACAGATTCCCCGCAACCTGAGCGACATTGAGCTGCCCCACACCCCCAGCCATTGACTTTGCTTGTCAAAAGGTTGCAAAAGGGGATCACATGACCCTGGGACACTGTGATCTTTTTTATCATCAAGTTTTTGACACTTGCTAGGTGACTGGTGGTACTCGAATATTGCCATATCATAAAAGTGGTACAATCTGTGAAAAGGTTGAAAAGCCCTGCTATAAGGCATTACTTTATAATAATTTTGCTAAAAATATTCTTCTCTCATAGAAAGTTAGTATGAAGGAAATAACCTGTCTTTGCATTCTGGAGATTGTTCCTTCAGTTAACACAAGAAATATTGTATTATCTGTGCTGAAACTGCTAGGCCAAGTCAAATCATTAGAAGTATACTTAAAAAGTCCGCTCAGCAAATAACACCTCAATAATGAAAAGATAATTGTGGAAAAAAATACTAATTTGGGTTTTTTTTAGTCTTAATATACTGTTTATTTGTTTCTTCCCCCCCCCCAAACTCCTGCTATGCTGCCTCATTGTAGTGGTAGTGGTGGTTGTTTCTGGGCAGGATGTTGGAAGTATATAGTAAGAGATATATTCCCAATAAGGTCACCCAGTATGAACATCTTTCATCTAAAACTCATCTAAAGTTTATCTAAAGTTCATTTAAAACAGGCCTGCACTATATTAGGCAGCAGCAGTGGGAAGATGCTGAAAGTAGATGATCACTTTAGTGACAATGGCAAAGGCATCAATTCATACTGCACAGGAGAAGTCAATGGTAAACCATTCCTGTATTTTTACCAAGAAAACCACATAGATAGAAAATATCAGATGGCATTCAGCATACTACTGACAGAATTCTCACTGAAATATGGCAACAAAAGAAGAATCACTCACATTTTCTAACAAACCTGTGCCAGCAAATCTGATGAACCATAAGGTGGTCAATAGATTGGAAGAGATCAATTAGATTCCAGTACCAAAAGAGGTACGGGAGGAGGAAGGAGACTTAATGGAGCGTTCAAACACATATGTGTACTTATTCAGCATCATTAATTTTACATGCTAGCAAAATAATGCTTAGGATCATTCAATGCAGATTAGAGAAGAGTATGAAAAAAAGAGATGCCAAATGTTTAAGATGGCTTTATAAAAGGCCAAGGAGCATGAGACATTATTGGTGATTGGTGCTGGATAATTGAGAAAACAAAATAATACCGAATATAACTCGGTATGTGATTCATTGATTATAGCAGAGGTCCCCAAGCCCTGGTCCGTGGACCAGCACCGGGCCACGGCATGTCAGAAACCGGGCCACGCAAACAACCGAAGCCCCATCCATGGGATGCAGGCAGCACACGAAACCACAGCCCCTATGGTCCGTGGAAAAACCTCCCAACAGAACCTGTCCCTGGTACCTAAAAGATTGGGGAGTTATGTCAAATTATATCAAGTGGATTATGCTCATTAAAATGAGAATCCCAGAACATCTCAATGTCCTCGTGAAAAACTTATGGACAAGTCAGGATGCCACAGTTTGGGTGAAGCAGACTGGCTTCAGATTGGCAAAAGACACAGCTATATATGCTCCCCTTATTTAATCAAACTATATGCTGGATATATTATGGGAACTTGGATTGGAAGAAGATAAGTGAAATTTCCTTATATCCCTGTCAGACTTTAAGGCTTCACAGGTGTTATCTCTACTGCTAGTTTCCATAACATGTACAATTTCTAATGTTTATTAGAAAAGTGGCTTTTAATAATCTTATTACCTTTTGTCTAATTTAGGAATCTAGCACATCCTTGCAAACTCTTGGAAAAAGTAATAGATTTAAATTAATATCTTTTATTATTATTGGTTTGACTCCCCCCCCCAAAATGATTATTATTTTTTTTATCTTTTTTATTAAAATACCATTTCTCAAAAAATGCAAATTCTAATTTACTGTATAATTTGTTTTTTTTATCAGCTACCAAAGAAGAAAAGGAGTAATTATAAATGAAACATCTATAATTGTATATGCCCAGTTACTAACTGGGAGTAGGTATCAGTTAAATCAAAATGGTGAAGTGTATTTTGAAAAGCAGTGGTCCAAGCAAACTCTACCTTTTGCATACCAGACAATTGTCAAGGTGAGCTTTTCAAGTTTGTTATTGTTATACTTATTTACATATCTATCAATTCAAGGAATCCGTATTTATTAGCACAGGTCAAATTTAAAATATTTTTTCAGCTTAAGCTTCTTAATTTGTTAGAAATGTATGCATGTTTATATTTACATAGACATTTACATAGACCATAAATAGTGAAGAAATATTAGCAGATCTTCATCACTCTTATCACTACCATTTTCTTTTGTCATAAGTAACTGTTTTGTACTTAAGATGATATTGACTGTGCTGAACAGGTGAAGGACATTATTTAATAGAAATTCCTAAATTTATTCATGGATAAGTATCTTCACTGAAGAGTAAAACTTGCTGTTTTAAAATAGATCATTGGCAAGCATTGTTACAGTGGTTAGTGTGAATTGTCTTAATGTGATGTATCTTTCTGGCTTTTTTTGGCAGGATATAAAAACTTTTGATTGCCATTTCTCTAAACTAAAAACTTTGGATGACCTATTCCCTCTTGGATGCACAGTTTTCATGATAGGAACACCTTACTATGGCTGCACAGGAGAAGTTAGTTTCAAAATAATCTTCCATTTTATAAATTTAATACTATCAGAAATAGATCAAATGTTTATCTATGTTTTTGAGCTATCATTTGTCTGTTGAATATATGTAATTGCCTTTATCTGTTTTTAAAATATATTCATTCGATTTTTGCCTTGTCTTTTTTTTCTAGAACTCCAAGCAACATATATAATATTCCCACCTCTTATTTTTTTTTCACAGAAAAGGTGCTTAAAACTACAATTAGGACAGGAATTTCAGGTGTTGAGTGAAGTGGTTGTTAAATGAGACATCATATGATTGTCTTATTTAATGTCTATAATATTGGCACTCCTGATTGCACTTGTGAAGTGGAGAGAGGTAAAAAGTGCAGGGTACCTTGAGGGTGAAGGAGGCCTGGTGCAGACTAAGCACAAATGTCTTCCTACTCAGGAGCTGAAAATCCTCTCTACTGAAATCCAAGTGATTGCACTGGGTCTCCCCACCCCCTTGAAGCACCCACACTCCTTACCGTACCATGCTGTCTTTCCATTCAGGCTGAAAATCCAGCTTAATTTTGGCTCTCCGTTATCTGTTATTTCTGTGGGCTGGCTCCCTGCAGAAGGATTTCAGCTCCGTGCAAGCAGGCAGTAAAGATTTCAGCTCTGCGTCAAGCAGGCATGGAGCTGAAATCCTTTGGCTCTTTCAGCCATTCCTCAAAGTTAAGATCTTTTTGTCAGGCAGCAGCATCTTCCAGTCTTTTCTTCTGGCTACCCCATTGACTTTCTGTAGAAATTGGCAGAGAAAATTGTAAATGGCAGTCACATGATCACAGGATGCTTGTAACTAGTTGTAAATACAAACAAGTTGTCAAACAACCAGATCATAATCACATGACAGAGATGGGTGCAGTGATCAGAAATGCTTTACAGGCCATAAAGCACACATTCCAAGGCTTTTAATCTGAACTGTTGTTAAGCAAACAGTCGTAAGTCAAGACCTACCTGTAATCGCTATAGATATTTGGAAGACTTTTTTCCATTGTAAACCTGAGTATATCAATTATTTTTCTTAGATTCAGGACTCTTCTGATGTTATCTCAGATGGCAGAATCCGTGTTGTTTTCAACATTCCAATTGAACCTCAGCTTGATAGCTTAATACAGAATCAGCATGTAAGTGTTATGAATACCTTGCAGAGTTCATGTTAATCCTTCGGGAAATAATTCAACGCTATGGAAAAATCTTCAAATAATTAACAACTACTTTCTTTTACTTTCATCTTTTTCTATTATATTTTTGTACCCATACATTAGAATCTAAAGGTTCTAAAATATTTTGAACTGGTTTTCAAGCTTTTTTATTTAAATATTCTTTAAAGAAATGTATTGCCAGTTTAGAATTATAAGCTTCCTCCATTGACTAGATTAGAAAATTACCTCTGCATATAATTACTTATGTTCTTCCCTTCATCCTTCACTTTTCTCTTTTCCCATTTTCCCACTATTTTAATTTTCATTTGTATTTTATGCCCATGGTTGTTAAGTAAATGACTGCAGTTTTTAAGTTAATACCATGGTTGTGAATCTGGATTCCCCATTGACTTTGTTTGTCAGAATATCGGAAAAAGTGATCACATCACCTTGGACATTGCAATTGTCATAAATATGAGTCAGTTGCCAAGCGTCTGAATTTTGATCACATGACTGGGGATGCTGCAACTGCCATAAGTGTAAAAAAACTCATCAGTCACTTTTTTCAGTGCCATTATATATAAATCTATCAAAAAGAAAGATTTTTTCTTTTTTCTGTTTTTCTTTTCTTCCAACAGCCAACTTTTCCTGACATATTAATGCTCCCCATCACTCTCATAGTACCTCTTTCTGCTCTTTATTCAACAAATGCCGGTTTCATTATTTTTATTCTTTTTGTTTTTCTATTAGAAATGATACACTGTGAACCTCAGTAATTTCTTATCCTATTACATACCATTTCAGAATTTACATATTCTGTGTCAAGCTACGAAATCTACTGCCTTTAGCACCGCCCTAATTCTTCTTGCTTGCTAACAGAACGGGTGTGATTTGGGAGAGTTGGGGTCTACAGGTGTCTTTTATCACCATGACAACTGAGAGCTGTTGTTTTGGCAAATGGAAGGTTCTTGTCATAACAATTACTAGAAGATGTATTGGACAATGTGACCTGAACTGTCAGAGAGGGGATGGAAGATTTTATTATTTTAATTATCTGCTTCCCGCCTTTTCCTCAGAGCTAGATTTAATTCAGTTATGCCAGTTTGATTCTTGTCCAATAAAAGTTTACATTAGAGAATGCTATGACTCTGGTGTTTTGCTTGATTGGGCTTCTTCAGCTGGGACTTGACATCCTACTTGCTTGCTTGTATACATTTGTCTGTGAATTGAAAAGGTTGATACAAGTCCTATAAATGTTAATATAGTTCTCAAATATTAAAAGTAAATATTTGATATTTTAGAAATATTCTGTGAAATATAATCCTGCATATGTGTTGGCCAGTCGCCTTGGAGTGAGCAGCTATCTAGTATCAAGATTTACAGGAAGCATTTTTATTGGAAGAGGAGCCAGGAGAAAGTAAGTTTGGAATATAATATCATTTTGCAATGAATTATCTAATTACATTTGAATTAAACCCAAATTAAAATGATGTTAATCTGATTCTTCCTATTTGCTTTGAATATTGGTCTTCACAGAGAAAAATCAATTTTTGTGCACTTAGTATAGAGAGAATAGATTGTGCAGTATCAAGAAAGACAATTTTATGTTAGCTGTGCCCAGTTTTAAAATTGGGAAAGAACACCTTTATGAAGTATGATAAGGAAATAAGTGCGCAAATACTATTTTTCAAAAACATAACTCACTGCACTTTTGCATCACTAAGGATTGTCCCTTTTTATGAGCCAGTGAACTCACTGAGAGTATTTTGGCACTTGAAAACTCATCAGAAGGCCAGTTGACCCACAAGAGTTAGAAATGCCATTACGGGTAGTTCTTGACTTATGACCACAATTGAGTCCAAAATTTAGGTTGCTAAGTGAGAAATTTGTTAAGTGAGTTTTGCCCCATTTTACAGCCTTTCTTCCCAAAGTTGTTAAGCAAATCACTGCAGTTGTTAAGTTAGTAATAAGGTTGTTAAGTGAATCTGGCTTCCCCACAGACTTTGTTTGTCAGAAGGTCTCAAAAAGGTGATCACATGACCCCAGGATGCTACAACTGTCATAAATATGAACCAATTGTTAAACATCTGAATATAAATCACGTCACCAACGGGATGCTGGAATGGCCGTAAGTGTGAAAAATGGCCATAAGTCACTTTTTCCAGTGCCATTATAAGTTTGAACTGTCCCTAAATGAACTGTTGTAAGTCTACTACTGTATCTTTTTTTATTAAAAAGAATGCTTACTGTTTTTTTGTAAAATTCCTGATAAAGCTATAAAGCATTGTTAAAATATACTTCCTTTATAAAATGCTTTTTCTAATTTTTCTACCTTCCCCCATGTGAAATTCTTGTATGTACATTTTTAAAACATATTCCAAAGCATGGATAGGTTGAATTTGAGCATAATTTATCAGGAAAGAGAAATGAAAACAGGAAGAAGAGAAGCAATTAGAGATATGGAGGCAGAACATATTTTACATGCTGAGCAGTGGTAACTGATAAGATTAATGTGTCCCCTTAAAGCATTTAGGCAGCTGACTTTTTGAAGGCTCAGCATAAGTTCTTCAGGGTCTTCCTAGGTTGTCTCCAATTAAATATACAGATAGTGCTTCATTTGGAATTGTAATCAAAGCACTCACTTCCAAAGGCAACCTATGGCAAGACCTCAGGATACTGAATGCCTTAGCATCAGTTTCTGATAGCTTCAGTCCTATCAAGTAGGTACAACTATACAGCAGGCATACTTCCTAGGTTCTGCCAGATTATAGAGTTTAAGGAGGGGATTTCAAGCACACAGACCTTATTTGATCTGTTAGGACTGATAGATACCCTCATGAAGAGGAGGTTCCACAAATAGCCTGGTTGTGTGCTATTCAGAGCTTTTAAGATGATCACCAACACTTTGAATTATGTCAGGAAAGAAACTAGAAGTCATAGCACCTCAGGCAATAGCAGTATGGTAAGGGCAAACCATAGAATACCTAGAACTGTGTGTGCCATTACATGCTGAACTAGTTGTAATTTCTGGGTGAGCTTCAAAGATAAACTCGGTTCCGTGGAGAGCATTTTTTCTGTGGACTAGAGGGGGCATGATTTCATGTACTACCCCCTTGGGGGTGGGTGATTCTGGGGGCAGCGCTAGCGCCGGCGGTACGCTTGGGAGTGGGGCCACGCTAGCAACAGTGGGATGCATGGGGCGGCGGTAGTACTAGCGGGATGCTTGCTGCTAGCATGAGTGTGGGGGCTGTGAGTGCATGGCATCCCTTCGTGCGGCCTGGTGGCCAAGTGGCCATGGCGTGGTAGTGGGCCATGGCCCACAGGTTGGGGACCCCTGCTATAGATCATGTTACAGCAATCCAGCATGGAAATAACCAAGCCATGAGTGACTATGAGCATTTATTTTGCTAAATAAATCAGAGTTAGTTTAAATTTTATTAATATTCATCCTCTGCTCTTTTTCTGCCAATACTGAAAATTGAAAACTGAATATTGTATTAATATTACTATATAGTAAAATTAGTATTAGAATTTTAGTAAAGTGCAATAAATAGAGTTAACATTCGCCATCTGTTTTGCAGTCCACGTGGAGACCATAAAGCAAATGTAGGTTTAAATCTGAAATTCAATAAGAGGAATGAAGAAGTCCCTGGCTACACTAAAAAAGTTGGAAATGAATGGATGTACTCCTCTGCAGTGCAACAGTTTCTAGCTGAATATTTAGAAAGGTAAGCTTAAAATTTGTTGTGGACTTGTGTATATATCCTTGTGATTGATAATGTTGTGTAGCATTATTGTAGGGAGCTTTGTTGGATCCAGCTAACAGTCTATTGAAGCATTCTCTTTATTTTATCTATTTAGCAACCTAAATATTGTGTCTCCCTAGCAACTGGCCTCTTAATCTTACTGGCTTTGTTTTTGGGTTTAGCTATTTATGGTTTATTCTATGTATTTATTTTTTCAGTTTGTATGACTGCTTAGTCACTTAGATTCCAGGTAGTTAATAGCCAGTTAAAAACAAAAATAACTAAATAAAAGATATACTGTGCCAAAATTATGTATTCTTCTTTCAAAACAATGTTGATTCCCAGACTTCACCAATTTTGAGGATAGTACATTTTATAGTTTGATAATGTACCAGAGAACAAGTGACTGCTTGCATCATATTTTCAGAGATATTTCCTTATCAGATTCCTCAATGTCTTCAACATTGACAAAGCTTCTAATGTACTGCCTTCACTGGAAAAACAGATATGATCAGAGATGTCCTGCCTTGAAAATAGCCCCTACTGAACTGTATATTATAATCAGGAAATGTTTTATGATAATTTGTATTATGCCATAAACAGTTTTATGATTATTTTTATGTCATAAAAGGTTTTAAAATTGGCCAAATTTCAGTTCTATTGGCCCTGAATTTTGGATGCATTCTGTAAGTTAGCCCATTTGAGGTATGTACCTTGGTTCAAATGTTTTGCCCTACGATAAACCATTTTGTTGGTAATCAAAGTTTTAGTATCCCAAAGGTGCTTTTTATGAGGCAGCTGGACTTTCTTGTTTTTCTTTGAAGACGTTTTGGATGAGAAGCTAAATGTCTTCAAAGAAAAAGAAGAAAGTCCAGTTGCCTCGTGAAAAAGCACCTTTGGGATAACTGTGACCTGGATGGCAGAAAATATCCGTAAACAAAATTTTAGTAGTATATTGACTGAATGAAGAAATATTTTAAATTAATTTTAAAACTTTCCTTATGTGAATATAGTGGATTATTCCTTGGGTACTATACTGCCATTATGTGTGATAGAAAACTGCATCCATATCTTTCATATCATGTTACATGATTGCTTCTGCATCATACTGGAAAAAACACCTGTAACTTTTTAGAAGTTACATATCTGTGTTACATTAGTGTTTCAGTGCAAAGCACATGCAATTTATTTTTCAGGGTACCAGAACTTTTTACTTACTTAGCCAAAAATAGTCCAGAAGATATATTTTATGAAGATGACATTTGGCCTGGTGAAGAGGAGAATGGGTATGTAGTTCATATTTTTTGGTAGATTAGTAAATAAGTAGATAAATTTTCTGATCTTGCAAGGACAATCAGCCTGAAGATTTCTAGTTCAAATTTAGTAGACGAGTCCTTGGATTCAAGGAGGAACAATTTCATGCAGTATTCTTTCATGGTTGTAGGCTGTCTAGTTACTATCAAGCAGTCAAAATACTGTTTGCAAGGTATTTGGGGGCTGGCAAAGACTAAGTCCAGTTATTAAAGTTGGTTGCACAATCAGTGAGATGATTAGATTGGATTTGATATTTTTATCGAATCCTTCCCAAGGACTAGGGATAGGCAGATCTTGTTTGATAATGTTGAAGATATTGTCGCAGGATGTAAGCTGTTCCAAGTAAAGCTACCTTTGCAATTGTGGTGGTGGTGATTTTGTCAATGGCAGTAATGTTCAAATGATGCTTGAGGTGTTTCTGAATGATTATTGTTTCTAATTACAAAATGTCAAAACCTGCTTTTGTTATTTTATTTCAAAATGGTGCTTCATGGTGAAAAGGGAATGAGAAATGATCTCGTGGCTGTGTTGTGTGTGCAGTGGCAGGGGTATACACATATGGAATATTTAAAATATGAATACTTTAGAAATACTTTAGTCCAGTTGCCTTTTGAAAAAGCATCTTTGGGACAACCATGACCTGGATGACTGAGAATCTCCATAGACAAAGCTTAAGGGATGTGGGTAAGCTCCATTCAAAAGTGTATTGCACCCAATAGCAGCCATTTCCACTTCCATATACAGAAAAGTGTTAAATGTAAAATAAAGCAGAAAGCCAAAATGGATGCTGCAGAGTCATCAAAGTACAGCCTGCCATTGTAGGTGTCTTAAATGTATTGATCTTAGTCACTCTGCATCTTTATCCCTTAGACTGAGATCCACAGGTTCATGTTTGTTGAGATTACATACACGGTTATTAAAAGTTAGGTAATGACTGCCTTCTTTCAAGTATCGTCCACTTTAATTTTCATTTGCTGCAGATAATGCACTTGTATAGAGAGATTGGAAGAGGATTTTGTTCAAGGCCCCATTTATTTGATGAAATGGAGATTTTCTATATTTGTCCTAAATTGCAAAGTTTAGAAATTTAAGGTATAATAAACTTGGACAAATTCAATACTGTATCTTAAGTCTACACTACAAGTTTTGTCACTGGGTCTGATTTCTGAAATATTTTTGCACTTTGCTGTAATCATTTGGATTAATCCCCTTCTAGTATTATGTTCAACTAATTGGCAACATATCTGTGTTTATTTGAAGAATATATTAATTCCAGACATACTTTTTGTCTCTTAAGAACACTATTGTTATTTTGAAAACATATAATCTAGGTCCAAGGAATTATAGGGGTTGTAGAGGTTTTTCTTTTTGCCCTATTTATTTATTTAATGTGTGGCATAGAACAAATGGTTACCAGTAATAAAATTATATCTACCAAACAAAATAATTGGATTATAATTTTCAGATTTGCTTTGACAGCTTTGATGTAATTTTTAAGCTTTGGGGCAGTGCTTATATCTATTTTTTTTACATTAGGACATATTAAAAAACAAATCTTTATAATACATAGTAATTTGCCACTTGATAATATTTACATGTTGACTGTATCAGATTTTACATCTTGATGATTATTAATATGGAATAATTTTTAATATAGTGCTGAGAAGGTTCAAGAAATCATGTCATGGCTAAAGGCTCATCCTGTCAGTACACTCTCGCGTTCATCTTGTGATTTGCAAATTCTGGATGCAGCTATCATTGAAAAGATTGAAGAAGAAATAGACAAATGCAAGGTACATAAAATATTGTCTAAATTATCTCATACTTATCACAGTATATTGTAATTAGGTTTCAAATATCATTTACATTGCTATTAGAATGTTGTACATTATGAATATTTGAATGTAATTTTGGACTGTAAAGCAATAAAAAAGTCAATTTAAAAAAATAAAGTATGTAGGAGATCTTACCAGCTTACCAGATAATTTACTTGTTTATATATAGATGATCTCTATTACCCACCTTAGGGGTCCCCAACCTCCGGTCTGTGGACTAGCATTGGGATGTGGCATGCCAGGAACCGGGCTGCGCAAACAAGTGAAGCCCCATCTGTGGGATGCAGGCAGAATGCAAAACTACGCCCCTTTTGGTGTGCTGAAAAACCTCTGTCCACGGAACTGGTCCCTGGTACCCAAAAGGTTGGGGGCCTCTGAGCCACCTTAATTTAGATAAACTTTGAATAGAGTTTACCATTCATGAAGTCACATACATCTAAGGTTATACTGAAGGTTTTGTTTATAGGGTTCATCTCTGTTCTGCTCTTGTTGGGTTATGTTCCTTTATACTCAGTTATGTAGATCAGTATTTGATGTTGGAGAACTCTAAACAAGAGAATAGTTTAGAATACCCATTACATTGGTTATATCGTGTGATTATCTCTAAATACAATATTTGGAATGGGAATGAATAATTTTTTTTATATAAAGATCATATTTTTTCATGGATTATCCATTAAGACTTGTGTAATAAGAGTTGGAGAGCTGTTACATGAATCCTGAACTTATCTTACAGAATGGTTTTAAAATTAGGTTGAGCAATACACATTAAGCTAAGGAATATAGATAGATTCACTATCAGTGTTATCATTTATGTGGGCTACAATATATGACTTTTTAACTTTGTATGGCAATAATACTCTATGAATGATTTCATCCAATTATTTTTTCTTTTTTTAGCAAAGAAAAAGTAATAAGAAAGTGCGTGTGACAGTGAAACCTCACTTATTATACAGAGTAAGTTTAATATAACTATAGTTGCATGGGGATTTTTGGTAAAGGCAGTAGCAAATCAATTTCCTGTTGCCAAGAAAGAAACATGAATGTATCATGTAATCATCAAGAGTTAAGCTTGACTCAAGGGAGGCTTCATGTTTGATACCAGCTTCCTCTTTTTTCTCCCATCTTACATATTGTAAAATAGGGGTCCCCAACACCTGGTCTGTGGACCAATACTGGGCCAGCAACCAGTCTGCACAAACAAGCAAAGCCCCATTTGCAAGATGCAGGCAGCACACAAAACCACACACCCTCTGGTCCGTGGAAAAACCTCTCTCCACGGAACCGGTCCCTGGTGCCAAAAAGGTTGGGGACCTCTGTTGTAAAACTAATAAACAAGGAATGTAAAAAATGGCAATGCTGGTTCGATGGTGTAGATGAACCTTACTATATTTTCTGCTGGCCGGATTTGGAGTCTGATTGCTTTCTACTGAGAAAGCATCCTGCATCATAAGATCATTATAGTGAACAGAACATTACATGATTATTTAATCTTTTCATTTTAATAAAATTGCACAAAGAATTAATACCCAAGAGGCATATATAACTACTTTTATTAGATATATTCATATTTAGGTATTTTGCTGTAATTTAAATCTTTGGTTTTATTAGCCTTTAGAACAACAACATGGAATTTTACCAGATCAAGATGCAGAATATCGATTGTTTGATCGTGTTGTGAATGTGAGAGAGAACTTTTCTGTTCCCCTTGGACTTCGTGGTACTGTAATAGGAATTAAAGGAGGTACGGCTGAATTTCTTTTTAGCTTTTGATAATCCTGCCTTTGATTTGTGAATGATTTCTATGTTTAAAAAATGCTGATTACTATCAGCTGATATTTATCCAAAATTACTGAAGTTAAAAAGATAGATCTTTTTGTTGGTTTTAATGAGCTAAATTCAAAATTCTATGTGGGGCTTGTCTATACTTTTCTTGGTATTCTTGAAGAGTCACCTGAATCACACGGGCTGCAGTTGAGCATAAGAATTTTTCTGCACCAAATGGCCTCTGCTGTTTTATTGCAATACCCTGCACCGTAGTTCAAGCTATTTTAAAGGGCCTCTAGACCTTTCAAAATGTAGAATTTTTGGGACAGGAAAGAATTGGAAAGCTGTTTTACAAATGACGTTTCATACATATACTTTGGATCCAAAGAACTGACATAATGGTTTTGTTTGCATATTACCATATATTCCAGCGTATAGGGCGACCCGGCATATAAGACAACCCCCGACTTCGACGCCGAGTCGCATGCCTAGAAAGTTGTCTTATACGCTGGAAACTACCATTATTTCCGGCGTATAAGACGACTCGGCGTATAAGACGACCCCCGAGTTCGGCGCCAATTTCAATGCTCTCAAAAGTCGTCTTATACGCTGGAAAGTACAGTATGCGGCCACTGCTGTTAATTTTTTTTTAAACATAATGTCTACGCTATACATCAGCCCTTGTTTATTGGGGAATGGAGTAGCCAACTGTGATTGGATGAGTTGTTCTAGGGAAACAGATCTATAGTGCTTTTATAGCACTTAGAACTAATGAACATTTGGGCACATGTTTCTACAGTATAACCAAACGTGGGGAAGCCCTAACTATATTAATTTGTTATTTGCATAAAATATAAGAAAAACACATTGCTATCAGTTATCTTCTTTGATCATTTTTTTTCTTGTTTTGGAAGGCTAAGAATGTGCATTAACTCACATAACATTGTCTTGTACATATTCTCATTTTAAAAACACCATGACTTTGGTGGTATTTCTCTGATAAGACTGAAACTACTTTAAAGCTCATTGAAGCACATAAGTCAATAATACAGAAATCATCAACAGATTATTTCTAGATGTGCGACAGAGGCAACCTCCACTCCCATTACACAAAATTTTTATTTCATTTAAACCAATTTATTTTAACTTACTGTAACTTCATCAAGAAGGCCAGAAAAATTCTTACAATGGGTGCATAGTCAGCACCAGAGCATACAGGGTAGAAATATTATGATTTTGTTCATGCACATAAAAAAAATATATTAAAAAGTGAGCTGCTGAAAACCAAATCTGGTGGCATGCTTTGGCACAGCTGTGGGAATTATAAAAATGAATCAAAGAATTCTGCCTCTGGATTATAGCATCTCATTAGTCATAATATTTGGGAATTCTGGGATTTATAATACAAACCATTTGGAGGGAACCATATTGATGAAGATGGTCTAAGTCAGGGGTCCCCAACCTGTGGGCCACTGCCCACTACCGGGCTGTGATCTATTGGTCACTGGGCCACATGAGTGGCCGGTCGGTGTGTGCTTGTGTGCACATGTGCACAGTCCCACTCGCGCGAGCATCGCTGGTGTTCATGACCCCACTCACGCAAGCATCACCAGCATTCTCAGTCCCACTCACATGAGCGTCACCGGTGTTCTTGGCCCCACTCGCGTGAGCATTGCCACAAGTGTTCGTGGCTTCACTCGCGTGAACAGCGGATGTTCATGCATATGCACATGAGCGCACACATTTACCCCTCCCACAAAACCATCCCTTCTTTCCCCCCCTCCCCCCACTCCAGGTCACCAACCCCAAAAGGTTGGGAAACTCTGATCTAAGTAGTCAGTTATATTGACCAGGAAGGGAAGCCAGTATAGAGGACAGTCCTGAAAATGGTCTTTGAATATACAAATTGTAGTAATGAGCAATATTTTTTTCTCTAGCAATTTCACATTTGATGATATTGCTTACAATGTATATTTTCTTTAGCTAGCAGAGAATCTGATGTGCTGTATGAAGTACTGTTTGATGAAGAATTTCATGGAGGTTTGACAATAAGGTTTGTTGCAGACAATTGCTTGTTTTTCTTAAGTGTTCAATAGAATCTCAGAAACATAAAATAATTGTGTTTAAAGAAGGTAACACTAAAAATATTTTTTCTAATAATTGTGTTCTTTATTATCTATTTTTATTGTCATTGTAAATTTATAAACTTTCATTTTATTAATGAGAAATAGAGATCAAAAACACCTCCATCCAGCTATTCACTCAACCTCATAAAACTGGGTCTGAATTGTGTTAATCAAGTTCATTTTATGTTCCATCCAAAATATTAAATATTTATATTCTATAAATATTTTAATATATAGTTTGAAATTATATGAATAATACCATGACAAAGTTGTTTTCCTTTCCTTTCTTTTATTAGGAGTTCACCTTCCAGAGGATACCGTGTACCAGCTTGTGCCTTAATTAACATCTCTTATGGCTATCGAACTGAAACAGGAAGTCAGAAGTTAACAGCCATAGTTAAGCCACAGCCAGCTGTGAGTTCCTGCAACTCATATTTATCTGAATCCTTTTCTGTATCTTCCCAAAAAGCACATCTAGGAGGCCTCAATCATTCTCCTCGTTCTCTCTTTGTTCCAACTCAAGTAAGTGTGAATTCAGTTACCCAGTTCTATCGTAAAAATAAAGATATTATTATTCTCTTACGCTAGTAAAAGCATAGCTAAATTTGAACAAGGCTTAATAATTGTCATAATAATTAGCGGAGCTGGTTTGGTGTAGTGGTTAAGGTACTAGGCTAGCCATGAGTTCTAGTCTTGCGTTAGGTATGAAGCCAGCTGTGACCTTGTGCCATTCACTCTCTCTCTGACAGACCTTGGAAGCAAGCAAGGGCAAAGTGCTTCAGAAATCTTGCCAAGAAAATTGCAGGGACTTTTCCAGGTACTTGCCTGGAATCAAGTGCAAAACAACAACCTGACCCAAAGGAGCACACACCCCACAAACACACAAAAGAATAGTTAATGAAGATTTATCCAGGCTTATATATGATAAAAGGAGGAAATGATAGTTCTTATTTTTTAATAAACTTTATTAGAAGTTTGAAAACAGAATAAAAACTAAGATCACCAGATATCTAGAATGAAAAAAGGAAAGAATAAAGGAGCAAAGACAAATGTGGAAAAATCGAAGGAAAGAAAAAAGATTGTAAAGAAATGATTTCTGATTTTCTTTTATAGCAATTCATCATCATCATCATTTTAGCCATTGTCTATCCCCTGCAGGATGAAAGCGTCTTCCTCATGTTTCCAACCAATACGGTTCTGAGCTTTTGCCAATTGGGCTCACAATAACTTGCTGATGTTATCGATCCATCTTGTTTTTAGGTCTCTTTCATGGATGCTTTTTATCAAGTGGGATCCATTCTATGACTGCCTTGGTTTAGCTGCCATCAATTCTTCTTGCTATGTAACCAGCCCATTTCCATTTAAATTCTTTTACTCTCTGGATGATACCGTATATTTTTGTTCTCTAATCCATATGCAAGTCTTTCTATGTTGTCTTGTAATGCCAAGCATGTTCCATGGCTCTTTGTGCCACTCATAGTTTTTGTATCGATTGATTGAAAACTTTTCAGGCATAGGGGGAGGTTGTTTTTGAAAATTATGCTTAGCTTGCTAAGTCATAGAATGGATCCCACTTGATAAAAAGCATCCATGAAAGAGAACATATTGGTTGGAAGAGGCCTTCATCCTGCAGTGGCTAGACAATGGCTAAAATGATGATGGTGATGATGACGACAATGATATAACTGCAGCAAGACTAGTATATGCCCAAAGAAGGAAATAATTCTTAGATGTGCCTTGAGCACTTTAGTTATTGGTGTATATATCAGAGAAGTTGATTTTTACATGTATTTTGAAATTCTGTTCCATAATATTGTCAAAAGAAACAAAATAAATAATGTCCCATAACAATTATTGTTAAAGTTGTTGAGTATATATTGTTAATTTATAGTACTATGTAAGAAAAAGAAATAGCTGTTTGTGTAATATTTTAAATAAATTGGAAAGTTATTCTGTTTTATTTCTTAATCTATTATCCAGCAATTGAATGGAAGACAGCATAATAGTATCAAAGCAGAAAAGCAGGGCAATTCCAGTTCTCAGAATAAAGTAACCTATACAAGTAACCATCAGAAATGTAAAGTAAGTCCTTTTACCTGCTACCTTTGGGTAAATGGTTTTGGGTTGTGTAGGAAGTCGGTTTAGGGTTTGTCAGTTAGCTTATATTAAAATAAGTAGTAAAGTGAAAAAAGATTATATATTATTTGGTACATTTGTATTTTTCAGTATTCTTAAGATACATGATGACATAATACATTAAAATCAGTTTCTAAATAAGATAATCATAAGCTAAAGTAATGCAAATTAAATAATAAATAACTTCAAGCAAATGCAATAAATTGGACACATTCCAAAATATAGCCAGTTGCAATAAATTCAAGAAAAGTGCAACATATTTTAAAAGATGTGAAGAAATGTGTTTATGTAAAGAAATTGTTTAATAAATATATAATGCTGTCTGTCTCCCCAAGATACACTTTTATGTTTACGAGTACTGAATGATCTGTGATTTATACATCAAATTATCTAGACTTTGATGAGATTATTACAAAATGAATGAAATCTTAATCTTATTTATTATTTATTAATCAATTGAAAAAACAATTCCTTACGGCAGGACCTTTTTCAGAGATTTGTACCACTTTTAGGACATGACAATATTAGAGTACCACCAGTGCTTAGCAAGATATCAAAAACTTGATGACTAAAAAAAAGGGGGGGGGGATTTTGGGTTTTACTGGCTAGATTCATTTGTTGTTATAGAAATGGCTAGTTTCTAATATTATGGTAAAGTGAAAAGTTGAGGTTCAATGTTAATGCTTCCTTCTACTGCAACAGAGGAAGTCAGAAGTCAATGTCTTTTCTTTTTCCATTCTCCCCCTCACATTTCCCTTTTTCTCTCAACCTTTGCTCACAAAAGCCCCCCCCCACTCACTTACACTTTGCTCGCAAAAGCCTCAGCTCGCTCTAACTCACTCCTCCATCTCTTTCAAAGGCCTCTCACTCAGTCTCTCCCTCCCTCCCTCCTTCCCTCCCTCCCCCATCTCTTTCAAAGGCCTCTCTCTCTGTCTCTCCCCCACTCACTCCCCCGTCTCTTTCAAAGGCCGCTCAGTCTCTCACTCACTCCTCCGTTGCTTCCAAAGGACACTTGCTCACTCACTCGCTCCGTCACTCCTCCGTTGCTTCCGAAGGTGGCTTGCTCGTTCGCTCTCACTTACTGCCATGTCGCTTCCAAAGGCTGCTTGCTTGCTCGCTCACTCATTGCCCCGTTGCTTCCAAAATCGCTCATTCGCTCACTGCCCCATCGCTTCCAAAGGCTCGCTCGCTCACTTATTCCTGTCACTGGGAAAGGCCCTTCTCGCGCTCTCTCCTCACCGCTTCACTAACAAAAGCCTCTTCTCTCTCTCTTTCCGCCTTTTTTTTTCTCCCTCTCCCGCCAAACCTCCTTTCATAGCTTCTCCTCTCTCTGCCCTCCTCCTCCTCCTCTTCTCTTCTGGGTGTGCTGGAAGCTCCAATCTGCCTGCAGCCGTGCGTGCAGATCCTGGGGCTTCTGCCGAGCCCTGAATCTCCAACTGATCTCCTCCAGGCCTGCACTGTGCCGCTTTAGCTTGTTCCCTCCCCCACTACACTTGGCTAGGGTCGCCTATCTACCTACCTGTCAGGTCCTAAAGTACCATCTTATGGTACTTTATGCCTTATGGTATTTCCATAAAATCAATTCTACAATATAACTTGTTTCTTGTTCGCATTGCAGTGCCATAGTAAATGACATTTTGACAATCTATGATAAAAAAGAATAGATCAGATTTAATTTTTCTTCCACTTATTTCAGTGAATCTTCTTTAGCTAAACAGAATTACTATGTATTCTTAAAAATGGAATAGGTGGACTAAGAAATTTCCTATTTCCCATTTAGTTGATAAAGTCATGGCAGCTCAGAATCAGAACAGAGTTTTTATTTTTTCAAAGAAAAAAAAAAGATCCTTCCCATTCCCAAAAGTTTAGAATGAAATAGCAACAGCTAGCTGTGAACCAGTTTACTTTTAGAAATAATGGGAGCTAGAAAACAATTGGGAGATTGTACTGTATGGTACTAAACAGAGTTGAAAAGCACAAATGAGAAATTCATGAAAGCTGAGAGTTTCTATATAAAAGAGGAGAAGATTAATTTTGTGGATCAAGGCCCTGGGACATGACTGTGTCTTGGAAATGGAGAAAAAAAATGTAAAAATCCTCTTGGTGTAGAATTTAGTACTGTCTCTGCAAAACAATATAGTAATACTCCATTATTGAAAAGATGAGAACATGTCTTCACTTCTATCTTTTTAAATGTGAATGGCTACTGTATTCACTGAAGCAACTAAAATATATGCCTGCAATTTAAATTGCTACTTTGTTGAAACTTAAGGCATGGCTAGTTTTTGTGAAAATGGAAAAAAATCATATGACTCCAGATTTTTGTTCTGCAATACGTTTTCATGGCAGTTTCAATTTTATTTGTTTTCTTTTTCTTTCCTAGCAAGCTCACAATAAAAAAGATGATGAATTTTGCAATATTTGGCAATCATTGCAGAACCCTGGAAAGTCTCAGCCTTCCCTACAAAATAAGGATGATATGGTTAGTATATGTAAAAAAGGGGCAATTTTATTTGTACCAATCTTATATGGCATGTTGATAATCACACCCTAAAAGAGGATAAGGCCAAAGAATAAAAGAAGAGAAGGGAGGGGTTTTCTAAGAAAAGTATAAATATTTACAAAAATAAATAAATCAAGCAGTGACTAGCTATAAAGAAATCCAGAAGGGTATGAAAGCCTTAGCAGACAAAGTATGTACTTGCATATATTCAATTGCCACCATTGCCCAATGGGGTAAATATGGACCAGTTGCTGAGTACCCAAAATGCAGTCATGTGACTGTGAGCTTAATCTCAGTTGTCAGAACTTCAAAGCCAGATCGTAAATATTTTGAAGGAAGGTCACTAAGCAATTTGTCTTAAGTCAAGGACTACCTGTATCTTTGTCTCACTCCTTTGCCAAATTGAAGCCAATCAGTTTCACCATATTCCATCTGGGTAGTGGTTTCCAAATCGGTTTTACACAAGGACAATGTGATGTTCTGGGATTTTCATCTTTATAAACACAATCCATAGCTTGACATGAACAACGAAATCAAAGGCCTTTCTATAACCAACAAAGCACATACTAAGGGTTTTTTGGTATTTTTAGCTGTCTCAGTTGAGCAGCAACAGCATCTCATATTCTTCAGCCTTTTCTAAGGCCAGCTTGAATATTTCACTAGCCATGGAGACTCTATGTTGATAATCCTAAACAACTTGCTAGTATGTAAAATTAAACACATTGTATGATAGTTTTAATGACATCTAAAAAAATACAGTTCAAAGACTGAATATTTCTGAAAATCTTGCCATATAGATCTAATATATATATCCTAAATATTTATTTTTCAACTTTTTTCTATCTTTATTTCTTTCAGGGAGCTAGAAACTGCCTCCAATGTGCCAAAGTGCTCTGCTCTTAATTTCAATGATAAAACATAGGAAATTGGGGGGGGGGAGAGAGACGGTTCTTCTGCAGACCATAGATTACCCTTTCATGTTTTATATATTCTAAAGTATGTGGTCTATGCAAAATCTTACTCTTGCAAAATCTGATTTTCTAGGATGAAGTTTTTTTACCTCAATATGTAAAATTCAGTACCAATAGTAGGTCCTGCAAACCAGGTTTCAATGAGAATAGCTTTAAAAGCCAGCAAAAAGCCCAGGACTCATTTAGAAAATGTAAGTACTGTAGAGTGTAACTTCTTTAACTTACTTTAAATATTTTTTAACTTTTAAATATAGGAATCCTGTTTTGAAAAGAGTTGGTTTCAATGAGCATCACTGAATCCTGTGTCAAAAGAAGTTTAAATCCATAGTCCATGACTGTGGATTTTAATTCTTCAAAATTCTCCCATGAACGGCACTTTTGAAGTTTTGCACTACAACTTTGCATCCCGATTCTTTCTTTCATAGTACAATATCTAAATAGATAAACCATGAAGGAAGCTAGAAAAAATATATTGAGTTATGTGAAGAAAGCTCACTGTCCTACTTAACAATATATCTTACTACAATTAATGGATTTGTTTTTAGTAGATACATTCAGAAATTTTCTTTTTCCTTGTATCTTACTCTTTAAACTGGTTGTATGAATTTTTCAGTTCCAGCCAAAGAAGATTCTAAAGAGCCAAGAAATGAAGGTCAAATACAAAAAATATCCAACAAACTGGTAATTATTATCTTTCTGCTTGCATATGACTACACATAATTGTACTTTTGTTATTTAATTATTTATTTATTTATTTAACTTTCATTAGGTCTTTTATGGAAGTCAGTTCATAATTTTATTATTAAGCAGATTTGTGATAAGCAATATAGTATTACTTACAAAAGCTATTCCAGTATTTTCCTTTATGCAGATTATAACATAAGCTAGGAATTTGTGGTCCCCAAAATGGCATCTGGATGACTCCTGAATTTCACGAAATGGTTGGAATATGAAAGAACTACAATTTCACAGTATTTTAATATTCCCCCATACACACACTTTTGCAAGATGTCAACATGTTTTAACATTTTGTAGTTATTCCTAGTAATTTAGAAATTACTTTGTCATTTACTCCAAGACCAATAGTAATCTCTAGGTTACAGATTAAGAATCATTTGTCTTCAGTTTGACTACTGGGCCTTATAGAAATATGAAGAGTGATCCCAATCACTATATAGTAAGTCTGCAAAACCAAAGAACCTTTAATATGGTTTCCTGAACAGCACTATCCCTAACATCATTTTGGGCTGCATGGCCCTTCACCGAGAACAGGAAGCAAGTGAAATATCCCTCTAAACCTGCTGCTAAAGTTGTTGAAGTGCCTCTTGTATCCTCTTGAAGACTCACTGAGGCTGCTCTGAGGTCTTCCCATGTTATTTCAGTATGTATGCATACCTAAAACATACTTGCACGAAGACTTCAAGCAATGAATTTGGAAGACTGTTTTCTGAACCATTCACCTTCCTCGTGTGTATAGTTGTAGATGAGTCATTATAGAATCTTTTAAAATTATTTGAACAACTTATGCTTGATTTTTAAAACATTGGTAGTTGTTTTTAGGAGAATTATTTTGCAATATTTTCATATATAAGAATCAATTTAATGAAAAAACTTTTATTAAATTGCAGAATTTTGCAGATGTAAGTAAGAGTAGTGTAAAACTTCTGAAGAGAAATGAAGGCTCAAATACACAAATAGAACAAAAATCTGCAGTTCGTGATCCCAGTATAACTGCAAAGGTAGGAAATGGCTGTCTAAAAAGAAATATATATCTGACTGTGCCTGGAAAGAAACAGTTTTATTAATCCATAATGAAAAGCTGGGAAATTCTGCCACCCTCCCATTGTTGTTGGACAACAATTCCAGTTTACCTTCACAATTGGCCATGATTAACTGGGATTGATGGGAATGTGTGGATCAACATCAGGAAACTATAAATTCTTGTTCTTGCCAAAGTAGTTAAATACTGCATTTAATTTTGTTTGTTACTGTTTCTCTATAGAATTACATTTATGCTGATAACATCATCATTAGGAAAGCTCTGAACATGAAGTGATATTGGCCCCTATCTGCCTTTCTTAAATATAAATCAGAGTATGACTTGATTGCCCATGAAATGGATGCCTTTTATATCAGTGGCCCATTGGAATGTTAATTTGACAAGATTGTTGAGTAAAAAAAATTTAGAAATTGCTTACATGGGATATTTATTAATTTTGCCCAGGACTCAGGATTGGGTAGATAATCGATAAAAACAACACAATGAAACAATCATTAAAAAAATCCATAACTCCAAAACAAAAACACATAAAGTGCCAGGAAAACCTATTTAACAGATCATACCATAAACTGAGGGTTGAAAAGCAGGCAGGGTTGGGGCCAGCCAAATCTCAGGGAGAATGCTGTTTATTATACCAGTTCTTATACTGCTTTTGTTTTATAAACTTCTTACCACTTTCTGATGTTCTCATCAACTCGATTCAAACCTGACTTTATTGTCCTCCTTTTCCTCATGCCATTCACTGTTCATTTGCTGTGTTATTTGATTTTCATTCATTTTCTCCTTATGATCAAGACACCTGTTTGATTGTAAACTTCACCAAACTGCTATTATTGTAGGGTGGTTGTGGATTCACCCACACTGCTAGTGCTGGATGAGTTCAACCTCACCTATCAAGACTTCTTGGAAGTTCATGGCTACTATGACAAACATGGACTTGTCCCAGGTCATCACTATCCCAACTTATGTGTCTGATCACTGTTTAGGTGTGGTGTTCATCTTGGACCAACTATATCATGATTTGATTCTAGAGGACTTTTCCATAAATCTATTGGCCATAGGCAGATCAATTTCCTGACAGTGAAAAGGAACTGCCGAACTTTGAAAGGAGGGACTTATTGAGATGCCCCAGATTTTTGATATTTAGCAGGCTTTCTGAGAACACTTGAAAAAAAAAAAACACTTGAAAAAAAAATCTGAAAAAAAATTTACTAGTCTCTGGAATATAGAGAAACCTGGGTGCCAGAAGGCCTTGTCCACTGATTCTCTGACATTTCTTTGTTCACTAAAGAACTCAAGGAAATGAAACGGGTGAGGAGATATCTAAAATGACACTGGCAGAAACAAGCAAATGTAACCAGACATATAAGATGTCTACTCTATGGCCATAAGAGTGGCAAAATTATTTTTCTATTCTTATTGCTTTCCTGAAATATTAGCTAGCTGCACTATTCAAAATATACCAGACTGCAATGGTATGTGGATTAACCTTGGAAGATAAGAGGAAGAGACATAGCCTAGACCAGGAGTAGGCAACCTTGGCTCTTTTATGACCTGTGGGCTTCAATACTCAGAATTCCTGAACCAGCCATGCTGACTCAGGAATTCTGTGAGTTGAAGTCCACAGGTCATAAAAGAGCCAAGGTTGCCTACCCCTGGCCTAGACAATGCTCTGATAAACAAAATTTGAGTCTGAAGGGGGGTGGGATACAGAAAATATCTCAGAAGGGACCCTAGTTTTCAAGAGAGTAAAAGTAAGGAAGGTGAAAGATACTTTCAAACTTGCAAAATTCTGTTACTCTTTTACAGTGAAAATAGTATTACTACTCATGGTTGGTGCTTCTTGTCTTGACTACCTCAAAGGGCTTATCCAAACCCTTTAGGGGAAGGGCTTTAAGATTCAGTCATCCTAAGTTATGATCATCTGTCTGAGCAGTTTGTGGATAAATTTGGTTCTCATTCCTGTTTCATGGATTGTAACATACAGTTGTCACCAACATATAAATTATTTTCATATACACTCAAAAGGTGAAATCAGTTGATAATTTTTGGTGTCCACTTTAGTCCCTTTATTTATAATTAAGCACATACTTCATTTTGATGCATGTATTTATCAATTTTTCAGAGACACCTTCAGAGAGATTTATTATTTATTTCACCCTTAAGGGGTTTTTTTTTTTTTTTTTTTTTGGCTCTTATGTTCCAAGGCATAATTTTCTGCACGCCATGGGCATCAGCAGATGAGCCCATAAATCTGTATCATCCATCAAGGCTTTTACAAAATGCCTTTTTATACTACACATAAGAGAAAAAAATCACTTGAATACAACTGAGAGAATCCAAAGAAGCTTTTCTAAGACAGCAGAAAAGTCAGGGCTTGTTTTCATTTGAAAACAATGGCACCAACTGCCTTTTAGTGGATAACCAACAGGTTCCATTAAAAGTACAAAAACCAGTGAACTATGTTACCAGTCCTAGTTGTAGCTTTCCTTGCTTACAGTAAAGATGGTTTCAGCCAGTTTTGGCACATTTGAACTTGTATGCCAAAGCAGACTAAAGTCCATTTTTATCTCGAGCATATTCCTGCTAATTTTTTGCAGGCTAGGATCTTTTCATTTATACCTGCTACCCAACAAAATGTTGCCCGTATCCAACAAAACTGTAGATGGATGCAGTACATATAGTCCTTAGGTTACAATGGCAGTTGGGACTGGAATTTCATTACACAGTGCAGTCATAAAGTACAATGTCACATGATCATGGGCAGACACTACAGAGTACAAGATTCCCATGCCATCCATTGGGGAAGAAAGTGGCAGGAGTGACTTGTGAGCTCTGCCAACTTTCCCATTGAATTTGCTTGTTGGAAGCCATCTGGAAAGGTTGCAAATAGTGACCCCGTGACTGTGGGACACTGCAAGTGTAATTGCGGCTGGTTACCAAGTGCCTGAATTTAATCACATGAATTGCGGGGACATTGTGATGGCCACAATTTCAAGTACTGATCATAACTGAACAAGTGGTCATAACCCAAGGATTACCTCTATACTGACACACTGAGGATGCTTTATATGTATAAAATGGTTCTACTTTTGACACACATTCGGAAGGTTGAGAGCAGAAAAAATATTTTCTGCAAATTCCAAATAGGCATTAGGAAGGGCATCAGGCCAGTAAACCCTCAGCTCCAGTGGTGGTATTCAGATATGTGAACAACCAGTTATCTGTGTGGATGCCGCTTCCAAAAGTCCATTCTAGGCTTGGGCAACAAAAAATTAGCTACCAGTTCTGCCAAACTGGTGCAAACTGACTGAATCCCACCACTGCTCAACTCCATCCAGTCGCCCCGACTCTACTCCTAATTAAGGAACTACAGGATTGTAAAAACGAGTTTTTTATAGCATCTAGAGTAAACAAGGTCACTTACATGTTTAAAACAATAAGATCAGCATATTAGAAGTTTTATAATGGATTGTTGTTAAATTGTCCCTAAATGTGGTTTACTAAAAACACTTAACCTTGTTGAGAATGCATATTTCTTGTGCATCCTTTCAAGTACAGCCTCTTCACTATCCTATTGAAGAAGATAACAAACATTGTGGTGAATAGTACAAACAATAGGTGTGCTTAGAATCAAAATGGGTTTAGTTTTGAATTTGAAGAAAAATCCTGTTACAAATTAGCTGAGTTTTATCAGAGTCCAGAATAAGCAATTTATTCTCTTCTTTTTCACTATAAATCTGTAATAGCAGAGTGGGTAGCAATTATGCTAAGTTGTTTAAGTAGGCTAACATGGCAGAAAAATTGGTAAAATATTATTTTTAAAACACACTCAAACTTTTGAATGTACTTAATAAGAACCTTCTATGTAATATTTAAATCTCATTAATTTTACATACTGTATGCCTCTAACTATATCATTATCTGCTTCTTAGAATGGGTCAGAACTTGGAGATATTTTGGCAACTTTAAAAATTTTCAAAGAAAAGGAACAATCACCTGATTCCACGGAGCCAACAAATGAAGATCATTTATCTCCCCAGTCTTTTGCCATGGTTTGTACATTGGATTGTATTACCCATCAAATTGGAATTTCTTTTGGAATTCTGTTTTTTAAATTAAGATGCTAAATTCCAAGTTATTCTGTATCTGTATATACACACGAACATACATATATGCTTATAATATATTTCTATTTAACTTCATTTTTTTAAAGAAAGGAACACAGATGCTCAAAGAAATTTTGAAGATAGATGCTTCTGCCGCTCCAGAAAGAAAGACTAATGAAATTTCACCTTCCACTTGTAAACAGGATTCTTTTGAACCTGCATCACAATGTAGACACCCCCAAAAGATAGGTATGTCTGGTTTATTTTAGTAAATTGAATAGTTGTAGCACATTATAAAGTTAATAATTATAATTACTTATAAGCATTTCAAATTAGATTTTTCTTCTTTACCTACAACAAATGTTTCAACATACTGAAAATACTAGTAAGAGTAGGGAGGATGGGGAAATTTGTTTTTTGAAATTGTTTGTAAAGAAATACACCTTCAAAAGAAACATGAGCCATTATTATGTACAGACTTTTTGATACTCCAGGATCTGTTATTCTCCTGCTACAGAAGTTGGTCTATTCAAAGACATTTCCTAGCCCTCTATGTACCTTTCGAAGGGGCCATCTAAAATAGTGGGAGGACGAGTATCTGCTAGCAGCAGACCAGTTGTAAATATGTTACATTGAAGCAAGTAAAGCTAAATATTTGGACTTATTCAAAACATTGGTATTATATATTCATTTTTATATTATGTTTCATTGATAGTGGATTTCATGAATAAATCTAATATTGGAGGGTCACAAAACATTCAGGCCATGGGAAAAGGAAGCCATCCTCTCCTTGGAACAGTATCTACTGCTGTGTCTGAACTTTCTCGTATCTGTTCCCTTGTTGGAATGTTGCAACCAGATTTCTCATTCCTTAGAACCCCACAGGTAACCTTGGAATTAAATAAATTGGCTGAATAAGTAAATAGTTACTTATTAAAACTGAAAGTAATACTGCCTTTTAACACCCTCTTTACTTGTATAAATCAAAGATTTGGTAAGTTGCTTCTACCACCAAAATTGTTTTCAGTGGTGCTTATTCATAGATGGAGTGGATTTCCATGTCTATCTGTCAGAATCCAATTATATTTCATCTCTAGTTATCGACTATGGAAAACCCCATTTCTGCCCTCTCTGGATTCTGTCATACAATGGGGAAGGGGGGTGAACAAATGGGTTTTATGGCCCTCACTTCTTTCCGTACAACTTCAAAAGGGACTGAATGTAGATACCACCAAAAGGACTAACCATAACAATGGGGCCATCAGCTTTCATCTACTCCCCTCTGAAGTCTCCCTTCTGCGGGCAGTGAGGAAAAAGGGGGTGGAAATGTAAAGCCTGGGATTGTCACTGGAGGATGGTGGGGTGGGGTGGGGTTGCTGGGAACCCCTTAAAACCTTGAACCATAGGGCTTGGCCCCCAAGTCCTGTCTAGAACACCTGCAACCATTTTCTCTTAATAAAGATGCCTGTTGGAAGAAATATTCCAAGAGTTCTGTCTTCTTAAGATGCAAAGTGGGTTGGGTCCTTACACTATCTTTGTATCTATCTATCATCACATTTCCACATTCCTTCCCCATCTTCACCTAAATGACCCTGGTCAATTTACAATAAAAACATGGGATAATATAAAAAGCATAAATAAAAACATTCCTTCATTCATTCCCTTCCATCAGGTAGATGGAAATCCACATCATTAATGAACAAATAGCAGTGGATATAATGGTAAACGCTTCTGGAGGCACAAGCAAGAACCTAAACAATTTGCTAGAAATCTGTCCAAGGCAAATTTAGATTTTATTTATTTACTTAAGAAAATGTATATGGCTGTCCAGCTCACTCTCAGTGACTTCAGGAGGCTTACAAGATAAAATTTAGGAGGAAACGCAGATGAAGGGAGGCTTTGTTGAATTCTAATATTATTTATTAAATGCATATGACCACCCATCTAACTGGAAGTGACTCTGGGAGTTGTACAACAATCAAAGAAAAAAATGGAGTCTCCTGCTTGTGCAGGAGGTTGGACTAGATGACCTCTAAGGTCCCTTCCAACTCTATTATCATTAAAAAATAAAATATTAAATTAAAAATATAGAAACCTCAAGGCATGGAGAGAATGAATATGATAACCACAATAGTGGATCATATGAGCTTATCTCTTTTCGGGGATCCTCTGCCTTAGGCCTCATGACATAACTACATCTTAAGGGATTTCTAGAACATTAAGAGGGATAGAGCTAACTTGACCTGGGGGCTGATGAGAATGTTCCCTAAGGCAGTACCAGAGCAGAAAAGGCCTGCCTTCTGGGATCCACTAAAATATAAATCCCTAGCAGATGGTACATGCCTCCTTCACTAGATCTAATGGTGTATTGCAATCTATTTTTGTTTAGGAGAGTTTAGGAGCCTATCACAGGACTAAAAGATAAGCTCTTTACTATTTTTGTTTACAATATAAGGCAAAAAAGGTATTTATTCATATTACATGTTTCTATTCCATAGACAATGACAGTTTGTCAAGTGAAGTTATCCAATGGCTTATTAGTGCATGGACCTCAGTGCCATTCTCAAAATGAGGCCAAGGAGAAAGCAGCATTTTTTGCTTTACAACAGTTGGTGAGACCATGTTCTAAATGTTCTAAAACTGTTGCATTGCACTGAATTTTTAACATATAATGTTTCTATTTTCTAATGTTGAAAACATTATCTTTTTCATACAGAGCTCTATTGGGATTAATTTTCCACTGTCACCACAGCAACCATTGCCACACCCGCCAATGTTTCCAAATTATCAACCACTGGGAAATCTTATGGCACCTAGATCTATCCCTCCAGTTTTCAGTCAACAACAAACTGGTAAATTTGCTAAATGTTATCTTTTATTTGTTCAGGGATGTTCAGGATGTGAAATCTTTTCCATACAAAAAATGTAGAATCTATTTCTTTCTCTAGACAGTGGCTATTCAAATGATTCAAGTCTCACTTAGTCCTAGTCCTTTGCAAATGCTCTGGCAAGAATTTATTTACACTTTTCATTTAAGACTGGGGCATGGGAAAAAGAAAAGCAGTAGTAGCTCTCCTCATGCCCTTAGTTGATTAAACTTAATTGAATGGCGCCCTTGATAGAAAAACAGTTATTTTGCATTCTTTTTAATATGAAGAAGTGAAATAATGTTCATGAAATAGGTATATTATTGGTTGAAAAAAGTTAATTGTAGGGAGACAAGTTCTACAATAAAAAAGTAACCAATTGAATAATGTATAAAAAAGTTAATTATGTTCCTTGAAGCGCCTCTTGCTCTCTAATTAATTTTATAGAGAAAAATAAGAGGCTGTAGGGGTTCTGCTGCAGTAACATCAGTTTAGACCTTGCAGTTACCAAATTTATTTAGTGGGTATTGTTGAAAACAGACCCACTAAAAACAGTTTAAATAAAAAAATGTTTTTTATTTAATATATCTATATCCCATTGTTTTCACAGCTAATATATTTCCTTCATCATTTCCTGCCTTTGGCTCAGTGCAGTGGGGAACACCAATGCCAGTTCACAACAAATCTTATTACTCAGGTTCATATCCTGGAAATGCCTATCCTGCAGATATACCAGTTGGTACACATAACCAATTTATACCATTGCAGGTAAGTTTGACAGCAGACAGAATATATATATATAAGTACATTTTCTGATTTTAGAAAAGTAATTCAGGTTATTGTTTTGTTTTTAGGTAACTAAAAAAACAGCTGCAAACAAAATAAATTTTGAGTCTAAGGAGTTCCAAGCTTCTCTTCAGGATGCACAGTTGAAGAATGATCAGTCAATATCTGACACCACAAAACTGAATTCACCAGATACTTCCTCAGATCCTTTAAGACCCTCTCAAACTGTTCAGTCTGCAGCATCTTTTCAAGAAAAAATGGCATCTCCAAATTCAAGGGTACCTCATAAAAAGTCAACACCAAATGTTTCTAGCAAACGAAAACCCAGAAAATTGGCTGTCAATTTTGGTGCATCGAAATCTTCAGAATAAGTATGGTATACAGAATACTTACCTTTCTATTGTATTATACGAATAAATACAATTTTAAATTTTAATTCTAATCCAAATTATGCTTTTAATTAATATTTTCTGGTAGTTGCATTATTTTTAATACTAATTATGCTCATTAAAGAACTTTATTTAGTTGATAAAATTAAGGTAGTTACACTCGCCATCTTGCCTAATTTTCTTTTTTTTTAATGGCTTTTTAAACATTAACACAAGAGAGCAGCAATAATATTGATAGTGCTAGAATTGCTTTTTTAAAACTGGAAGTGAGTCTGAAAGAATTATTCCAGATGATTTGTCTCCTTTTTAAAGATTACATAACTTCTACAAACTATTTATATGTAACCATTATTTTATTTCTGTATGATTCTTTTACTCTGATACAGTGTGAATAGATTTTAACTATTGTGGCACTGCCAACTTTAAATAAAATTATATCTAGGAATTATACCAAAGCAATGTAACAACTTAAACATGTCCTAAAATTATTGTACAGGTAGTCCTCAATGTATGACAGTTAGGACCAGAACTTCTGTCACTAAGTGATGTGGTCATAAAGTAAAATGTAATTGACTACATTGCTTGATGACTGCAATCCCAGCAGTCCTTGTTCTGTCATTAATCAAGAACTATGAATCATTAAGCGAGTACCCATCCTAGTCCAAACCATCCCGGTCTCTGTCCCTCCCAGCCAAAGTCCCCATAAGGTAACTGGACTGTCTCCAGTTCCCACCCACCCACCTATCTCATACCCAGTTCCTGCCCTTTGGCCGCCCTGCACTCTACCTTGTGGGGTAGCAAGCAGTCCCAGAACAGCAGGACTGTGCGACTGTGTGACAACCATGGGAAGCTCAGCCCAGTCCTAGTTAACCTCACCACCCTGCAGTGGGAGACCCTTGACACCCTGTGCTCTGCAACCCCCCACTGACCTTCACCATTTTCTTGCTCCTACTGCCAATGAGGTATGCCTAACCTGGCTGCTTGGCTGGGCAGGACTTCAACTGTGTGGGGCGGGGGGAAGGCTCAAGGCAGCCGCTTTGCAAAAAGCTTCTCAGCAAAGCTGAGAGGAGGGTTGGAACGGTAAGCTCATTCCTTCCAGAAGCTCTTTACAAGGGGTTGCTTTGAGGATTTTTTTTCTTTTAGGAACACAAATCTCATCCCTACCCAGAAGCTGGTTACAAAATCTTTGGGTTTTATTTTTCCACATCTGAAGCCTAGTCCACTGACGAGGCCAGGCATGTCTCATCAGCACTGGGAGGAAGAAGACAGTGAAAGTCAGCTAAGGCAGTGGAGCACAGGGTGTCAGGGTTCCAAAAAGGCTCAGATGGGGCCCAGGTGAGGATGAGTTGAAACACCCCTGCAGTCATAAATGTAGGCAGACTGCCAAGCACTCAAAATTTGATCACACAACCATAGATAGGGGTGCTGCAACAGCTGTAAGTCCAGGCATGGGTCGTAAGTCTCTTCGTTCAACGCCATCATATCTTTGAACAGTCACTAATGAATGGGGGTTAAAGACTGCCTGTAAATAAATGTCTTTAACTAAATGGCACCATGTTCCAGCAAATAAGGTATACAATTTATTGATCTGATTTATCCTAAACATAAAGATTATTTCTGCACATTGCTCAGTAATCCTATACATTTGGATGTGGCATACAACATGAGCTCTGAACCTATCCTTATTGAGGAAAATGAACTCTACAATTTGGCAAAGGTTTTTTTTATAGGATAAAAATGTTATATGATTTCCTAAAAAAAATAATTGACAGTCCTAACTCATACTTAGACACACCACAAATCTTTTTGTTCTATTTTTCATCTGCAGTATATTTTGGGAGAAATAAAACATGAATCAGCATGATACTGTTTTATTACTAACTTTTGAAACATTCAGAATGTTTTTTTTTATTGGAAGCAGCAGTAGCATTATATGAATGACTATGATCATTTTCAAATAACACATTTCTCATGCTAGAGTAATCTCACTATAAGAAAATACCCTAAATAATGCTGTCAATATATTATCTCCACATACTTGCATCCAAGTCGTGTCCATGTTGATCCAAGACTGCTTTTTTAACATGCACATTTTCATGCAAAAAGTACATTGCTACATCATAGCATGGGAAGTAAAACTTTCAATTTAAATGAACTATACTTTGCCTTGAATTATGTTTAACAGAGAATACTTACTTAATGCTGGCATTTGGTTTTAAATCCATAGTAGTTGAGGAATCAGCCTATTATTTTTCTGAGTATAAGTTAATTTGGGCTTTGGTAAGAGGTATGGTCTGGTTACAGATCTCCATGGAAGACAACCACTTTTATTTGCCAGTGTGACTGAAGGCTGAGTTGCATTTTGTTTACATGTTTAGGAATATAAACATCCTTACTCTAAGCCCTGTGTCAAAATCTATAAATTGTGTGTTAGCCACTAAAGGAAAAGTTGGCTAACTTAGAACCAGCAAAAATATGCAATTTTTCCTATTCTATTTTTATTTCTGCATTTTAATGCAAATTGTCACTTACTTTCAATGATTTTATTCATATATCTACATTACATCTGTTCCATTTTTATTTTCTTATGAATCAGCTAGATCAGTATTAGTTTCCATATAAGGTGCCCTTTTTTTATGTTGTAAGACATAAATAATTGGCTTAAGACCTCTTAGAGTGTATTTTGTAAATACTGGATTTTTTTCACAAATCTTGTAAAAAGCGGTATTTTATTAAAATCTTAAAGGGAAAATTTTATAATTTCCTTTCTAGAAAACATTTTATCTACCTAACAAATGAGATTGATAAATTGGCATGAATGTCAAGTGTATTTTTGTGTATAGTGTGTGTATGTCAGAATTCTATCATATATAAAATATTGTGCAGAGGTATTTTAAAATGAAAATTTATAATGTACAATGAAAGATTAACGTGAAATACCATGGAGAAATTTAATACAATAATTTTATATAAGATTTGATTTTGTCTACTTGTATTAAAATGTAATTATTTAATGGTTGGCTAGGCTTTATGGTAGCCAAATGATAACATGTATTAATTTAAGGGATTTTTTTTACATATGTTGACATCAGGATCATTAAAATTGAACTATAAAAATTAATATAGGCAGTTATAATCCAATTCTGAATACAGGGTAAATATGAAATGAAGAGGAATAAAAAAATATATAAATGAAATTCCTAGTCAAAATACAATTAATATTATATCCTAATTTTAAACAAATTAAGTTTGAAGCAGTCCCAAAAAGCCAAATCTGATGAGCTATATTCACATTTATCTCTATGTTGTTTGAATAATTTGCTGTCCAAATATAGATATACCAGTTGATTCAAACTTGTTTTGCATTTCTAGTTGTCCAATGCATCACCTTTCTTTTGATGGTACAAAGAAGATATAAAAAGATTCTTAGCATTAAATGATTTTGCCTAGAAACAACTCTTTATTCATTTGACTTACTAATTTGGAAAATGTTTTACTCTTTTGTTTGATATTCAATCACTAACTTGTGGCTGACTCTTCATGATCTCACAGACCACAGCACATCAAGCTCCCCTGTCCTCCAGTCTCCTGGAGTTTCCCCAAGTTCATGTTCATTGTGTCAATGACACTATCTAACCATCTCATCCTCTGCCACCACCTTCTTTTGCCTTCAATCTTTTCCAACATTAGGGTATTTTCCAGTGAGTCCTCGTCGTCTCCTTAGGTGGCCAAAGTATTTGAGCTTCAGCTTCAATATCTTCCAAAGAACAGTCAGGGTTGCTTTCCTTTAGGATTGACTGATTTGATCTCCTTGCAGTCCAAGGGACTCTCAAGAGTCTTCTCTAGCACCACAGTTCAAAAGCATCAATACTTCGGCGCTCAGCCCTCCTTATGGCCCAATTCTCACAGCCATTACTACTGGAAAAATCATAGCTTTGATAGTGCAGACCTTTGTTGGCAGATTAATATCTCTGCTTTTTAATATGCTATCTAGATTTGCCATAGTTTTCCTACAAAGAGCATCTTTTGATTTCATGGCTGCAGTCACTATCTGCAGTGATCTCAGAACTCAAGAAAATAAAATCTATCACTGCTTCCATTTCTTCCCCTTCTATTTGCCCAGATCACAGGTCGGCAACCTGCGGCTCCGGAGCCGCATGCGGCTCTTTGAGCCTTCCCCTGTGGCTCCGAGCCTCCTCTTCCTTTGCAGAGAGAGACAGAGACAGAGAGAGGCAATTGCGCTTCCCTGCTTCTCTCTCTCTCTCTCTCTCTCTCTCTCTCTCTCTCTCTCTCTCTCTGTGTTTGTGTGTGTGTGTGTGTGTATGTGTAAAAGAGAGTGTACTCACAGTGTTCTCCGAGGAGCTGAAAAGCTTATTAGGCGGAGCTCCTCCCTTTGCTGCGTCTCTGCAGGAAGCAGGAAGGGCAGGAGACAGCTAGCTAGCCCAGCTAGGCTGACTCAGGAATTCTGGGAGTTGAAGTCCATGAGTCATAAAAGAGACGAGGTTGCCTACCCCTGAGCTTGTTGGACAACAGCTTGAAGCTGGCCAGGTGAGCAGCAGATAGAAGGGGGGGGGAGAGAGAGAGAGAGCGTGTGGGGGAAGAGGAGTGGCAGACCAAGGGCAGAGAGGGAGGGAGAGAGAGAGAGAGAGACCCTTTTGACATCTAAAATGAAGATAATGCTGCATATATCCTTTTTTTACCTCTGTGTGTATGTAATTTTATTCTCCTAAAGCATTCTCTTGGGGATCATTGTTTTAATAGTATGGATATTCCCAAGAGTCATATTTTTACTTTTATTTTTAATGTGTATATATACATATACATATATACATACATATATATACATACATACATACATACATATATATATATATATATATATATATATATATATATATATATATATACACGCACACACACATACACACACACAAACACACACACACACACACACACACCTATAATAAAGGTAAAAAAGGATATATGCAGTGTTATCTTCATTTTAGATATCAAAAGGGTTTTGCGGCTCCTGGTGTTTTGTTTTTGGTGTTTTGGGTTGCCTACCCCTGGCCCAGATGATGGGACCATATGCCATGATCTTAGTTTTTTTTTTTTAATATTGAGTTTCAAACCAACTTTTGCATTCTCCTCTTTCACCTTCATCAAAACATTTTTTAGTTTCTCTTCACTTTCTGCCATTAGCATGGTATCATCTGCATATCTAAGGTTGTTGATATTTTTCCCGGCAATCTTAATTCCAGTTTGTGATTCATCCAGCCCAGCATTTTGCATGATGTACTCTGCATATGAATTAAATAAGAAAGGTTGACAATATTGTGTATCAGTTAAAAAATTATTATTATTTCATGAGATATTTCATACCTACCAATAATAATAATAACGATAAAGTTGGAAGGGACCTTGGAGGTCATCTAGCCCAACCCCCTGCTCAGACAGGAAACCCTATACCATTTCGGACAAATGGCTGTCCAGTTTCTTCTTAAAAACTTCCAGTGTTGGAGCATTCACTGCTTCTGGAGGCAGGTTGTTCCACTGGTTAATTGTTCTAACTGTCAGAAAGTTTCTCCTTAGTTCTAGGTTGCTTCTTTCTTTGGTTAGTTTCCACCCATTGCTTCTTGTCCTGCCTTCAGGCACTTTGGAGAATAGCTTGACTCCCTCTTCTTTGTGGCAGCCCCTGAGATATTGGAACACAGCTATCATGTCCCCCCTCATCCTTCTCTTTATTAAACTAGACATACCCAATTTCAGCAACTGTTCCTTATATGTTTTAGCCTTCAGTCCCCTAATCAGCTTTGTTGCTCTTCTCTGTACTCTTTCTAGAGACTCAACATCTTTTTTACATCATGGTGACCAAAACTGGATGCAGTATTCCAAGTGTGGCCTTACCAAGGCATTGTAAAATGGTATTAATACTTCATGTGATCTTGATTCTATCCCTCTATTAATGCAGCCTAGCACTGTGTTGGCTTTTTTGGCAGCTGCAGCACACTGCTGACTCATATTTAAATGATTGTCCACTAGGACTACGAGATCCCTCTCACAGTTGCTACTGTTGAGCAAGGTACCCCCTATACCAGGGGTAGGCAACCCAAAACACTCAAAGAACCACTTGGACCGGTTTCCCACCAAACACAAAACACTGGGAGCCGCAAAACCCTTTTGATATCTAAAATGAAGATAACACTGCATATATCCTTTTTTACTTTATTATAGGTGTGTGTGTGTATGTATGTGTGTGTGTATGTATGTATGTATATGTATATGTATATATACACATTAAAAATAAAAGTAAAAATATGACTCTTGGGAATATCCATACTATTAAAACAATGATCCCCAAGAAAATGCTTTAAGAGAATAAAATTACATACACACACAGGTAAAAAAATGATATATGCAGTGTTATCTTCATTTTAGATGTCAAAAGGGTCTCTCTCTCTCTGTCTCTCTCTCCTCTCTATCTGCCCTTGGTCTGCCACTCCTCTTCCCCGACTCTCTCTCTCTCTCTCTCTCTCTCTCTCTCTCTCTCTCTCTCTCTCTCTCTCTCTCTCTCTCTCTCTCTCTCTCACCCCCCCTCCTATCTGCTGCTTACCTGGCAAGCTTCAAGCTGTTGTCCAACAAGCTCAGGGGTAGGCAACCTCGTCTCTTTTATGGACTTCAACTCCCAGAATTCCTAGCTGGGCTAGCTACCCCTCTCCTGCCCTTCCTGCTTCCTGCAGAGACGCAGCAAAGGGAGGAGCTCCGCCCAGTAAGCTTTTCAGCTCCTCGGAGAACACTGTGAGTGCACTCTCTTTTACACATACACACACACAGAGAGAGAGAGAGAGAGAAGCAGGGAAGTGCAATTGCCTGTCTCTGTCTCTGTCTCTCTCTGCAAAGGCAGAGGAGGCTCGGAGCCACAGGGGAAGGCTCAAAGAGCCGCATGCGGCTCCGGAGCCGCAGGTTGCCGACCTGTGCCCTATACTATACCTGTGCATTTGGTTTTTCTTGCCTAAATGTAGAACCTTACTTTTTTCACCACTGAATTTCATTTTGTTAGATAGCGCCCAGTGTTCAAGTCTGTCCAGATTCTCCTGTATCCTAAGCCTGTCTTCTGGAGTATTGGCTATTGTTGGAATTATCTGGATTATCTGGCCTGTTAGGCTGAGTCATCAGCTGCAGTAGGCCAAGGTATGAGGAAGTTAGCACGTGTAATATGCTAATATGCTGTGTCATAACAAATGTGGTTGGTGTAAGGTGGTCACCAGGTGCTTATAAACCCGCCTTCTGATAACACAATAAAAGGGATGCTTCGTCTTTGTTCGAGGCTCCCATCCCGAGGAAACCACGTGTACGTATCTGTTCTTCAACACCCATGGGAGACCGCTGGGCGCGTGAAAACCCACAAATGGTGACTCCGACGTGATTCAAGTTTCTGAGCACGTCTCCTCTTACTCACTCAGCGGAAGAGCTTACTGCAACTCAGGGCCGGTCGTCAGAGCTAGACGAAGCACCCTCCCAAAACATTACCGTGAGTATGGGGACAACATTCTCTAAGCCTCAGGTTGCGCACCTCTCAGAACTTAGGGAATTGACCAAGTCATCAATAATTATTTTGAAAAACAATGGGAAAGATTTGTTGCTTCCCACTAAAGGGGATTTGATCCTTCTCTTTAAATATGTATATCTAAATTGCCTTACATAGCCCGAAGGAGGATCCCTAAAAATGTCTGTGTGGGTTAAATTAGGAAAGTATTTTCATGAATGACTAGGATGTGTAAAAGTGTGACTGTTAACTGTTTCAAATCCAAAGGAAAAAGAATTTTAAAGTCTGCTAGAAATTCTGCTTAAAATAAGCCACAAAAAGGAAAAACCTCACTCTGTCTGGCCAACAAACAGAGTGAAGAAAAAGAATTGTGTTTGTTTGTTTGTATTCCTCCTTCTCTCTGTGTGTCTATCTACAAGAGCCTTTTGAAACTCAAGTCTGCTTGTGTGGGGAAATAACTTTTTAAAGTTACTTTTCGTATCCTATCACTTATTGGTGATGCTACTATGAAACTTTTCTTATCCCAAATATATAATCATTTCTCAATCTCTAAAACTATGTGGTCTATTTTAGAATAAATGTTCTCCTACCCTTGGCAAGTTGCACACCTTAAAATTTAGGCTTTTAAAATTATTTGGAGTTTTCAGCATTTTCAAACTGCCTGCAAGCTACCCCCCTTCCAATTCTTTTCCTGCTCTTTGTTCTCCATACCTTTTGTCTGCCTCTCCTGGTAGAGTCCACCCAGAAAGCGGGGGGGGGGGGGAGAGACCTTGTTCTTGTATCTTTCAGCCCTGAAACCCTCTCGCAAGCCTTTGGAAGCAGAACACACAGACCCAGATGCTGCCTCCATCCATTTGAGCCATGGAATTGAGTTTGAATCCAGCCATCCACTAAAAAGCCACCATGCATCTTCCCAAGTCCTACCATTTCCCCAGATGCCTGTGAGAGCTGCAGAAGGAAGGTGGTGCCATGTGAAGCCTCAGAAGAGAAAATTAAGACTGTGGGGGAAGGGTGGAAACTCATTGTAAACTTTTCTTTCTTGCCCCATTTGTATTGTAACAAGCCAGTTGAATGTATTAATGGAGAGATGGCATTTGGGAATATGTGGCAGAACAAGTACTGAACAACTTGGACTTCTATCTGGTGGGAGGGAAAACTTTTCCAGAATGTTTGTATTGCCTGTTTTGTAGAAATAGCTGCATATGCACACATACACCATTCACACCATTCAGAGTCTATCCCCTCCACCTACCTTTAGTAAAGTTCCCCTCAGGCTGATTTTTGCTCTATTGCACCAAAGCTTTGTGGGACCAACTTCCAACAGATACCAAGGGGGAGGGAACTAGGCCCCCTCAGGGGATTTGCAATTCATATGCCCTGACTAAGGAAGCAACAGGAAAAATCCCAAACTTATGCCCTGAATATATTGGACATTACAAACCTGGATGCACTGAATTAAGAGCTAAGGCAGGAAACAACCCTTGAAATTGGGCAGCCAGTGGTCATGTACAAAGGAAAACCATGGCTGTGAAGAATTTTGGGAGGTATGCAAACCTGACTGGAAGCTAAAGGTGACATCCAACATTTGAAAATGATTGGCACAGAATATTGGATACTATAAATTTCTTTTCCACCTAACAAAATTTTGCCCTGACTTTTAGAACTTTATGGGTGCAAGCTCCCCTTTTGGGAGCCACTAAAGGGATCTTTTTCTGCTGCCTCCATTGATGGAAGTTAGCCCCCCCAGAAGGAAATATTAAAAAGGGCAGAAAAATATATTTTTCCTCAAAAGGACTTTTTAAAAACCAAACCTGGCCCCAAATCTATCTGCCCCAAACAAGAGCTAGGCCCATACAGATGCAAATGTAACACCATCAGAAAGTTGGAGCCAGAGCAATCAAGAAGACAAAAGAGAAGATCTGCATACCCCACCCAAACTCTAGGAGTCAGCCCCATCACCTGGGAAGCAGGATATGATAATGCAATTTCCTGAAGAACCATCTTTCTGCAATAAACTGTAATCTTCAGGAACTGTCACCTACCAACAGGTCAATTTAGTAACTACACCTATCACTGCAGTTCAGTTACCCTTGCTAACCAAACCAGCCTTCACTTTGCCAAGCGACACTGAGGATGACTTTCTATAAAGCGCTACCTCCTTATTTTAAATAAAACAGAAAAGTAGGAGATGTTGGAGTTATCTGGATTATCTGGCCTGTTAGGCTGAGTCATCAGCTGCAGTAGGCCAAGGTATGAGGAAGTTAGCACGTGTAATATGCTAATATGCTGTATCATAACAAATGTGGTTGGTGTAAGGTGGTCACCAGGTGCTTATAAACCCGCCTTCTGATAACACAATAAAAGGGATGCTTCGTCTTTGTTCGAGGCTCCCATCCCGAGGAAACCACGTGTTCGTGTCTGTTCTTCTACACCCATGGGAGACCGCTGGGCGCGTGAAAACCCACAGCTATTCCTGACAGCTTGGTGTCATCTGCAAATTTGATGAGTTCCCCATCTATCCCCTCGTCCAGATCGTTGATGAAGATGTTGAAGAGCACTGGGCCCAGAACAGAGCCCTGGGGCACCCCACTACACACTTCCCTCCATGTAGATGCAGTTCCATTAAGGACCACATGCTGAGTACGGCCGCTCAGCCAGCTACGGATCCATCTGGTGGTGATGCTGTCTAACCCGCATTTTTCTATCTTATCAAGTAGTAGGTTGTGGTCTACTTTGTCAAATGCCTTACTGAAG